AATATTTTTAAAAAACTTCTGAAAAAGAAGAAAATTAAAAGATATATAAATTTATTTATTTTTTATTAAGTGGGCGTTTTAGTAGCAAACCTACACATTCATGTGCGTCATAATTCTATAAGGAATGTACATATTAATTTAGGGTGGGGGCTGGTCCTTGAAAAAAATTTTAAATAGCTACGAAAATTATTTTGTTAAAACATCAAAAAAAGTATTCAGATAAAAGAGATTTCTGTAAATAAATTTAAATAATAAAAGTTGTGAAATTCTCTAAAAAAATAAGGTTAATTAAAAAAGTTGAGGGATAAATGTTAAATATTTATTGAAATATAATTTAAACAAAAATTTGTAACAGAAAAAATCCAAATAAAATATTAATAATTTTTTTTAATTTTTAGAAAATATATTAGAAAGAATTTTAAAAATATATTTATTTATATATTGTTTTTAAAATTTATTTATAAGCAAAGAAATAAAAAGAAATTTTAAAGCAAAAGTGAGAAAGGTTTTGCGAGTTTGAGAGTCTAATAAGTCTAATAATTTAGTAGTTTGAGAGTCTTTGAGAGTCTAATAATTTTAGTTAAACATTAATAATAATATTTTACTACATATTAAAGGATTTTGACGATTTTCTGCAGTCCCGAAGATTTGGTCACCGGCAAATTATTCCAAATACAAAAATTTGTGTTCTTAGTAACTGAGTCAATTTTCTATAACCATTTAAAACTACATATTTATTCAGAGAAAGAATATTAAAAAAAGCCCTATCCTGTTGTATAATGCCAGAATATTTACAAAAAACCCCCTACGGGTGTTTAATTCTTGCTAAAAATTCCAAAAATTTGATGACCAAAAATCCGTACATAAAAATACCAGACAGAAAGGGTAACTTGAAGGATAGCTAAAAGTTTGGGGGAGAGTTAAAAAAAGAGATGAATCAAATTTTTAAAAGAATTTTTTTCTCAAAAATACATTAATCGTTAAAAGAAAAAAATTTTAAATAACACGAGAATGCCTTTTTTACTTTTTTTTTCAATTTTGTCGATTCGAAGGTTAACAGAAAAGTGTAAAAGTAAAGGGAGGATTGGGGCAAATCAGGCAAAGAAACGAACACGCCTTTTTGTTGTTGCATTCGACCAAAAATCAAAATATTCTATCGCCCTTTTCTCTCTTGTTTGCTGCAAGTAAGTCTGCACCCGAACACTTTTGCTGTTGGGTGGCTCTAAGTAAGAAAAAAATAAAATATTTTTTTTCCTCTCTATAGGGGTATTTTGGCGTGCTAGGGACGGCTGCAAGTAACCACCCCTTTTCCTCTCTTCTTTTTCTTTTTTTGTGCTTTTTTTCTGTTTTGTGTGTTTTATTGTCTGTATTTTGAGGGGAATGTGTGTTTTGTACGTCGAATGGCTGTCTGATGTGAGGGGAAAAGGACTAAAAAAAGAGAAAGAAAAAAGGGGATTGACTGACTCGAACCAACCGACGGACATATAATCTAACTAAAAATACACCATTATATATATTTTATTTTAGACTAAATATATATTTGCAAATACTGATGGCCTTTATAGAGATAAATAAATAAATTTAATATTATTTTGCATAAACACTCCTCTACATACTCCTTTTTTTTAGTTTTTTTTCTACAAAATGCCAAATAACTTCACTAATATTTTTGCAAAAAAAAATTACAGACACAAACATTTTTGGAAATAAAAACAACGGAAGTTACTAAAATGTAGTAAAAATAAATGAAAAAAAACTGTGGGAAAAGTTAATTAATTATAAGAAAATGACATATAATTATTTTGTTCTATAAATATATTTTTAAAGTTTTCCAAATCCATTAAATTATTTAATCTTTCCAATCCTTAAATGGAAATTACTAGAAGAAAAAGAGCAAAGATGGCGGAGCCATCTTTGAATTTTACCATTGCAAATAAGAACTGGCTGACTCCTTTTTTGCTTTTCTATTATTTTTCTCTAAAATACATATAAGCCTTCAAGAATGATAGAAAAAAATAAAAGAATCTTTACTCCATTTTTATTAAAAATGATCTTCCTGACATAATTCCTTTTGGAGTTTCTATAAAATTATTTGCTGATGATGTAAAACTCTATATTACCCATAAAACTACAAATGAACGTAAAAGGCTAGAACAAGCTCTTATAAGTATAAATCATTGGTGTAATACATGGAAAATTAAAATTGCTCCGTCTAAATCATTTGTTCTCCATCTTGGAAATAACAACAATAAGCATCAATACAAACTAGACCAGAATATCATAACTGAAGTTCAATCTATTCGCGACTTAGGCATTCTTATAGATAATAAACTTAAGTTCACTGAACACATTTCAAACGTTATAAAATCTGCTTATTATCGCATGCGTCTCTTATTTAGATATCTTAAAACAAGAAAAATCAGAATTTGGAAACTTGTCTATATTAGCTATATAAGATCCTTATTAGAATATTCCACAGTCAACTGGAGCCCTAGCTCTAAAAAGGACATCAACCGTATTGAAAAATGCCAAAAATATTTCACTAAAATTGCTCTTAAGAAATGCAGACTCCCTTATATAGATTATCAGAATAGACTTATACTTTTTGATTTACCAACCCTGGAAAACAGACGAAAAATATTAGATTTAATAACCATGTATAAAATAATTAACGGATATTCTTGTCTCGATCCAAAATCCCTATTTAAACTCTCTGAACGTAGCTCATCCAGGTATCCAAAAAGAATCATTCTCAGGCATAAGCTTGCCAAAACATCAAATCTATTTACCGCTAGAGCTAGTAAACTATGGAATCAGCTAGATAAGACTATTTTAGATTCTCCAACCGTTTCAATATTTAAGAACAGACTTATTAAAACAATAACATGATATATCAAAAACTCAAAATAAGCATATTACACTACAACATATCTTTTTTTGTTGTTTCCGATTTTTTCTACTCCCCAAAAAACACATTGCATTTCTACATCAGTTAGCCCTAAAAACAAGGCATAATCTTAAAACCTAAAAAACTTAATAATACTTTAAAAATTAATATTTTGGCGAAATGCTTTTAATTGGCGAAATGTTTTACTTGGCGAAATGTTTTTACCTTTTTTCGAGACTCTATTGTGTATGGTTATATTTTTTATGCCTTTTAAATGACATTTATATTTTTATTATTTTATATAATTTATGTATTGATTTTTGTGTTTTTTTAAGGTATATTTAAAGTGGCGATTTTTAAAATAATTAAAAAAATTTTACATACTCCCTTTTTTTAGTTTTTTTTCTACAAAATGCCAAATAACTTCACTAATATTTTTGCAAAAAAAAATTACAGACACAAACATTTTTGGAAATAAAAACAACGGAAGTTACTAAAATGTAGTAAAAATAAATGAAAAAAAACTGTGGGAAAAGTTAATTAATTATAAGAAAATGACATATAATTATTTTGTTCTATAAATATATTTTTAAAGTTTTCCAAATCCATTAAATTATTTAATCTTTCCAATCCTTAAATGGAAATTACTAGAAGAAAAAGAGCAAAGATGGCGGAGCCATCTTTGAATTTTACCATTGCAAATAAGAACTGGCTGACTCCTTTTTTGCTTTTCTATTATTTTTCTCTAAAATACATATAAGCCTTCAAGAATGATAGCCTTCAAGAATGTTCTAGCCTTTTACGTTCATTTGTAGTTTTATGGGTAATATAGAGTTTTACATCATCAGCAAATAATTTTATAGAAACTCCAAAAGGAATTATGTCAGGAAGATCATTTTTAATAAAAATGGAGTAAAGATTCTTTTATTTTTTTCTATCATTCTTGAAGGCTTATATGTATTTTAGAGAAAAATAATAGAAAAGCAAAAAAGGAGTCAGCCAGTTCTTATTTGCAATGGTAAAATTCAAAGATGGCTCCGCCATCTTTGCTCTTTTTCTTCTAGTAATTTCCATTTAAGGGTTGGAAAGATTAAATAATTTAATGGATTTGGAAAACTTTAAAAATATATTTATAGCCTTCAAGAATGATAGAAAAAAATAAAAGAATCTTTACTCCATTTTTATATATTTTTCTTTCTCTCTATTGAAGAAACAAGTGCAACTAATGGAAGAAAAAAAAATAAAAAATGGTTGGAATTAGGAAAGAGGATACTTTGACAGACATTTTTGTTTGGCCAACGACAACAGTCTTTTTTTTTCTCCCACTCCACTTGTCGCAACAAATAAAACACTCACACACACACACAGATATTTTTTGCTTTTTTGTTATTTCCAGCCGTCAAACATTCCCGCCTCCACTTTTCTGCTCTTTGTCCTTTCCTTTATTTTTTCTCTCCTTCATATGACTACTAGCTTTTTGAGATTGTTAAATCGCAAATAATATTGAGGGACTGCTTTAGGGATTGTCTTATTTTTATATTTTAGACACAAATAAGTTTATAATATTGACATTTAAAAATTGAAATCATAAAAAAATAATTTAAAAATCTTTAAATATTTATGTACATAATTGAAAGATTAAAAAGATCTAAAAAAAGTTTAATTTTGTATTCGTACCAGGGATGTCCGCGAATGAGAAAAATTTTCCTCAGCCAAAATACGCACTTCACAAGTCAGAAAAACAACACAGTTTACGCAATTCGCAATTGTGGCCAGCCCTGATTCGTACCTTACTTGATAATACAAGGGTTCTGTTCGAGAAAATGTTTAATTTTGAAGTGCATAGGGAAAAATTTTCAAAATTTTTCTGGCACCAGAAAATTCATTTCTTACGCCGCATGCGTAAATTTTGAGAGTTTTTGAAGGCCATAGGACATCTAAACGTCCAACTACACATGCTTAAATTAATCATAAATGCCTAAGTAGAAAAACAGCTATTCTCCACAAAGGCTCTCTGTAAAAGTACTGATTTCCAATTTATTCATCATTGATTTATAATGGTACAAAATCAATCACACAAAAGATTTAAAAAAAGAAGAAAAAATTAAAATAAAATAGAATCAATTTTAATTACTCCTCTTTTATTTCTTCATTCCTTTATTTCCATCATTAAAATCAGTTTCACGCCAATCAAAAGCCATATCTGTCATACCTCCTCTTTTACGAATTATTCGGAATTTTTTACTCTTTTTCCCATTAGTAATAATATCTTCTTTAATTTTATTTTGTTCTATTTTTTGTTGATTTTTTTTCGTTTTAGATCCGATATAGGCTAAAAATGGTTTTATTAAAATATTAAGGACATATCCAGAGACGCAACCCTATTCCCACTGAAACCCAACCCCAGGATACCCCTTGTAAAATACAAACCAAGATCATCATCATCAACAGTCTCTTGCTTGATGTCCAATCCAGGCTAAATTAATTTTAAAATAATTATAAAATATTAAATTGATTCATTTAGTTTACAACAAACATATAATCAACATTTAATTTAATGTCCAAAAAAAACCTAAGGCTAGTTTTTTTCTTTTAGCACGGCGTATACGGGAAAAGAGAAAATATTGGGAGAAGGCGATCGAAAGAGTGGAATTTTTTCGTTTTCAACCTTCCAAATTCGAGAATTCTTGGCCCTCTTAATCTTACAATTAGCCCCGCTCTGAAATCCGACCCTTGTCTTTTAGTCAATCTAAATTTCTAAAAAAAATATAAAAAACCTCTCTTTGTCCAAAATCTTTATTTCTCTGTTGTAAATTGCTATCAGGTAAATAATCATTAAAAACAAATTCTTGTCCATATTCGTGATCTTCCCCATAATTTTCATCAAAATTTTCAAATTGTTGGGCTGTAGTCATTTCAATTAAATATAATCTAGCTTGTCGATGCAATTGTTGAAGAATTACCCATTCTTTATTTGCTGGAAAACATTGAGGGTGATGGGATGGATAACAATCTCCTTGAATTAATCCTTCACGAACAATAATTTTTGGACGAAATTGCTCCTTAAATTAAATTTATAGAAAAATTATTTGGAAAAGTATTTAACTATAATCTATTGCGAGTTAAAAATTAAATAAAATGCCAAGCATCGAACTGAAAAACCACATTGCCGTATTAAATAGGGGAGACCAAAAAAATTAAATTAAAAAAATACATTTGTATATCTCATTAAAGACTCGCAACGAGAACATCGAAAGTAAAAAGTTTCTCCTTCACGGTTTTGAGTTGTCATTCTATATTGCCTTAAAAGGCCGCCTTGCTTCTCCTCGATAGACAAAATAGAATGACTTAAATTTCGAGAAAGTTGAAGATGAACACCATCCGGAGAATAAAAACTAAAAATATTTACAAAAAATATTTTAAAAAACTCACAGTTTTTCGTAAACTTCATCAGGATGTTGTCGAATATATGTCTCGTCAAAACCATATGTTTCAATACAAAATTGATTTAAATTTATATCCTCCATTGGAGAAAGCAAAGCCTCATTTCCCTCATCATACATTCTAATAAATTTAAATTATTTTAAAAAATTTCAAACAAAAAATAACCCTTTACTGTCCCTTAATTGTTGATATTGCTGCAGAATAGAGTCGTGATCTAACAATACCAAAGGCGCATATTCTCGCTCAAAAACAACTTCCAATATACGCAAGTCATAAAGTGGTTCACTATATTCAATTGGCTCTATATAACGAAGTCTTAATATTGGATCTATTTCATTCCCCTAAAATGTTTTTTTTTATATTTTTTTAAGAAAATAGTTAGATTCGGGAGTTAAATTAGAATATGTAAATGAAAGAGAATAAACGACTAACTCATTATGAAGACTGAATGAGACTTTAAAAAGGAGAAAGTAATGGAAGTTTTGTGGCCATAGGAATTTTAAGTTATTTTCCCCGTCCTAGATAGTAGCATCACCATTCCACGAAATAAAAAAAGGAAACCTAATTTAAACAAAATCCCAAACAATTATATAAAATAACAAACTTTAAAATCGACAGAAGTACTTCCTTCATATCCAAATGTCTCAAGTAAATAAGAATAAATAACATTTGAATGTGCAATAGCAAATTCCTCCCATCCACGAGCAGACAATTCATCCAAACTGTTAATATAATATTGTGAAATTTCTTTGGATGAACAGACAATGCTGATGAAATTGAGCTAAAAAATTGGTAAAATGTGTGAAAATAATTTTTGGAATTTTCCTAAAAAATTCAAAATATTTTTACTTTTTCTGCATAAACAGAAAATTCCATCCAATAAGTCAAAACAGTTACAGCCAAAGTAACAACACTTGTTTTGTCCATATAAAGAAGTGGATGTGTAAAAACAACAGAATTATACCCTTTTTCTATCAATAAATCCATTACATTTCTATAGCAAAGCATCAAATCAAATTCTACAAGTTCATCTATATCAACACAATCATCGCTCTGTACTGGTCGAGGCAAAATACAATGGGCAATTTCTTTAAAAAATTTTAAATAAAATAAAAGAATTAAAATACTTTTAAAATTGTTGAGTCCAAAAGAATCAGTAAATCGACAACTTCCAATGCCGAGAGATTTATATCTGACACAAACATCCTTCAATTTATCTCCAGAAAGTTCATGAATACCCAAAAATGTTTCATCACCTGATCAAAAAACCCAAAAATAAACGGTTCCGTGACTTTTGCGCCGAGAACATTTGCGCCGCGACTTATGCGCCGAGCGACTTTTGCGCCGGGGGACTTATGCGCCGCGACTTTTGCGCCGGACGACTTTTGCGCCGCCACTATCATTAATAATTATGAAAAACTACAGCCGGACCTCATTATAGAAGATGTAGGATAGTTGGAAATCTTCGGATATCAAGATCAGGATCCGATATCCGACCGAAAATTTTCGGCTATCCGGCCTTTTACAGATCCGGATACCTAGACCCGACAACCCTACACTATAGTACACCCTCTTCTGGCAGAAAATCATGCCTGAATAGGGGTAGCAAACCAAATATCCTGATTTGAAAAAGTCAAGTTCTTTGAAGATGACCCCTCTAGTGGGTCGGTTTATTTTCAACCTTCCTCTAGGGGGTCGGTTTATTAGAGGGGGCTATTGTACTTCCCGAAATATTGTACTTCCTGAAATTCCTTCAGCTCCTGGACACCATTTTTTAAGGAGTACACTATAATTAGGTCCGACTGTAGATATTTTTTTTTAAATTATGGCGGCGCAAATGTCGCGGCGCATAAGTCGCCCGGCGCAAAAGTCGCGGCGCACAAGTCGCCCGGCGCATAAGTCGCGGCGCAAAAATCGCGGCGCAAAAGTCGCCCGGCGCATAAGTCGCGGCGCAAAAGTCGCGGCGCAAATGTTCTCGGCGCAAAAGTCGTGATACCAAATAAACATATATTTATTACTAAAAACAAACCAGAAAGAATATCGCTGGCACAAAAATTAACAAGAACATCCCCCTCCCGTGAAGACAAATCAAGTTCACTAAATATACGTAATTTCCCATTAAAGAAAACTGAAGCCGGTTCAGTCAAATGACGATCAAAACTTGTTCCAGGCTTAGTGTCATATTCATGCTCGTTAAATATTTTGTTCATTATTAAAATTTATTTGAAGATTTTGCAAATTTTGCAGTCTTTCGCCAAACAATGGCACATTGTTAATGTGTGATATAAGCAGTTTGAGTTTTATTATTAAGTTATTTGATGTAATTTTAGAGTATGTACCCAAAAGTTAAATAAAATATAGAAATGAGAAAATAATATAGACAATATAGAGAAAAGAGAGAGAGAGAGAAAAACGAGACAAAGAGACAAAACGTTGCTGAGATGGACAAAATGTCGATGAAGTCAAAACTTTTCAAAATACCTATAAGGCTAAAACTGGACAAAATGCCTATCAATAAGGCTTAAATGGATAAAATTACATTGAACTTAAATACATGTGTAAGTATTATAATGTTTTCAAAACAAAAACTAAAATAAAACATTTATACATAAATATAAAATTTTAAATAAAACAACAAATGTTCATCCAATTTTTTTATAACAATTTTTTGTTTGACTTTGAGGTTTTACTTTTTTTAAAGATCTTTTTCTCCGGCTGTCTACCACACATCCACACATTAATTCTTCGATCAATCTACCACCTCAATAAATCCATTTTTTAAAGTATTTTCATTAAAGCATGAAAGTTTTTTTGAAATTAAATTGAATTTTGGAAATTATTTCCTTCGTAATTGCTTGATTTAAAAAATTATTCCTAGTATATCTACATATATCTCTGTTATTATTTTTATTCTTGAAGAAATAGATAATTAATTTATAAAAATTAATTTTAATGGGTAGTCGTTATTTAAATCTTCCCCAAACTGGAGAAGTTCCTTCTTCAATGGTTGATCAATTTTTTAATGACCAACATCCTCCACTTGCTAGAAAGAAAACAATTCAAGAACTCGAAGAAGAGGAAAGAGAAGCAAGAGAAAAAGCTGAAATTGCAATTACCGAAGCTTTGTTAAATGAAGATTTGGAAAATATAGAAGATTTAAAGAATGGAAGTAATGGTGATAAAGGAATAAAGAAAAGGTGAAATAATTTTAGAAAAATATTTTTTAATGGCTAGATAATTTTAAAAGAGTTGGAATTAAATTTATTTTTAAGTTTGTTCTTTTCGATATACTATTTTTGGTCGTACAGTTTTTTTAAATAATTTCTTTGTAGTAAAGTTAAAGACTCAAAGTAACCCAACTGACATATACCTAAAATGTCACACATATCGACATGAGAAGAGTAATATACTCTGTGCTCTCTAATTTTAAAAATAATTTTATTAAATTTAGGTATTAAGACCGTTTTATTTTAATTTTAAAACATCGTTTTTGTTGCCATTCTAAAGCGTACCATTAAAATATTTGGATACATTTTTATTTTTCAGAGGAACTAAAAATTAGTTAATTCCTACAATTTATTTTTAATTTTTAAAATTATTTTTAAAGAAGATCATTTCCCTCGCCATCAAGTAAAGGAAGTGGCCCCTTTGGCTGGTTAGGCATTACTCAACTTATTTTGGGATTATTTCTTCTAATATTTGATGCTTTTACAAATCCTTTAAGTCAATCCAATTTTGGTGTTTCTGTTTCATTATTTGCCGTTTTATCTTCAGTTTTGAGTTTTATATCTGCTAGGTAATGAGATTAAATAGATTTTTTGTCAATTCCAAAAATTTATTTTTAAAATTTAGTCGATGGCCAGAAAGGATTTCTTTATGTATTTTATTACCTGGTTGTGTATTTACTTCTCTTTTATGGGCTTGTTTGGGTATTGAAAGTAGTCAAAAACTTTCCAATCAACCAATTCCTATTAAAATTAATTGTCCACAAACAAAACAATTAATAGAACCTTTAATTTGGGTAAAATGGTTAAAAGAAGAAAGTTTTTTAAATATTCGAAAATGTATTGGTCCAGCAATTAATTCGATATTATTATGTTTTGCCTTAATTGGGGGTAAGTGAATAAAAATAAAAATTGAATAAAAATAATTAAATAAATAAAAGTGTGGATAAATTAAAAATTCCACAAAATCATTTCTAAAAATTATTCTTAAATATCCACGCCCCAATAATTCTTTAAAAAATTTTTTTTCAAAGGATTTTTATCTTTATGCTCTTTGCTTGTTTGTTGTCGTTCTTTACATTTAGCATGTTCTAATCCATCAAAAATAAAAAAATTGAAAAGAAAAATGTCTGTAAATAAACCAATGATTTCTGCAGCAAATAGGCCCTTTACTTTATTAATTTCACCAACAGGGAGACTTCGAACAAAAATTCCAAAATTACCGTTAAGAAAAATAATTGAAGAAGAAAATAGAACGAATGAAACTAATTGTTGTGAATAAAATAATTTAAAAAAATTTTTTATTTAAATAATTGTAAATGAATTAAAAGAGAGTCATTTTTTAAATAATTTTTAAATTTAATTTGTAAAAATGATTAGGAAAAAGAAGGATTTTTAAATAAATTATTTTTATTCGTTATGGAGTTGAGCGTGAGTAGGTACGAGTGAGTAGGCACGAGATCGTGAGTAGTTACGAGATCTTGACCAGTGTTTGTAAAAATGGTATCATAGGTATGGTACATAGGTGGTATATGGTATCATAGGTCCCGAGCCCTTCGTTATGGAGTTGAGCGTTAGTAGGTACGAGTAGTTGCTGGAGTAGTTGCTGCATATAAACGAGTAGTTGCTGCATATAAAAGCAAGAGATGAATGAACAAATTCTAAACTTCAATTTGTCATTAGCACCTAAAACGACATCATTGGCACAACAATCTCACATGGCTGGCGAGCTGCATTCTCACATGGCTGGCGAGCTGCATTCTCACATGGCTGGAGTATCCTTGTTGGATAAGCAATATACCTGCGAACGTCAACTGGTTCCTTCGCCCCTGAAGATGATAAGCGGTAGTCCTGCCCAGGCTTCAGAAACTCGTCAATGCGAAGTTGAATTGTTCGTCATTCGGGTTCAACATGAGTTCACCAAAGTAAGTTTACTATACTTTTTTAAACTAAATATTTCGATTGATAAAATTTTTATACAGAAAGCTGTTTTGCCTCCATTGGATGTGTGGAAACGTGTCTTGAATCGTGGCTCATTCCGGTTTGCCTCGTTGGATGTGACCATCAAGCGTCGTGGGCTGTTCGGAATTGAACGTGCGGTGTCCTATGGCATACATACATGTGTTCTGAGCAAGCAAGGTCATCTGGTCATCTATACGGACAATTGGAAGCACGAGGGCTTCACCGTTAATCTGAGCAAGGCTGCAAGAACGGAATTCAAATGCAAAACTCAGAAGGTAAAAACCAGAAAAGTAAATAGAATTAAAAGTTGTAATATTTCCTTTTAATTAGCAGATGTTTCTATCAACAACAACGCAAAGAATCTGCAATGTTCGTGCGAAATGGAACTTTGGCTCGATAAAAATCCGTCTTCCAGAGTCCCTGGTCTTAGATTGGGGACGCGCGATACTTGAAGCTGCACGTGGTAAAGCTGAGGCTTCTTACGAATCTCGTCACTATTCATCGACTGTTCATTATCGACCCACTACTCCAATTCTCTTCGAAAACGGCACGCAGACAGATTCGGTGTTTGAGGAGCAGGCAAGCATTCCTTTTTGAGAATCTTTAATGAATTATATTTCAGACTGTCACCTTCGATGGAAATGTTGGCGATATCGTTCCAGTTCCTTCTGTGCGTGCGCCTAAGTCAGACGATGGAATATTCCAACTTCTTGATCCTGATGATTCCTTTGGTGAGTTGATATGTATTGTTAGATACGGCTAAATGATTTAATTTTTTAAGCATATCGTTCGGATGATGAATCTCTCCATCTGGGCGAAATGTTTGGGAGCAATGATCAGAGCATAAACACCGCTAAAGAACAAGAGATGCAACCACATTCCGTTGAAAAGAAGGAAGATGTCGATCATGATGAGAATGAGGAGAAAATCCCTTTTCCTCTTGAAAAGGCGCTGTTGTTGAACTTCCCTTCAGAGAACAAAGAGCAACAACAAGAAGACTACATTCCTGAAAGTGCCGTCATAAGCTCTGGTTCATTGCGACGACGTGTCACTTTCTCAGACCTGAACACTATCTTCGAGGCACCAGAGAATGAAGATCCAGTGGAAGAAGATGAAACTTCTGAATTGAAGCAAGACGATGTCATTCCTAAAATTGGTTGCAACAACCGGAATGATGTGAAGGACACAGAGGGAATTGAGGAACGCAGAAAGGTGATAATTAGTTAGGAAGAAATTATTTATATCTAATTTTTCTATAGGAACACATTGTTCAATTGGCGCTTGATCAAATGCGCATTGTTGGTCAACACGGAGTGAAGGAAACAACAACAGCTGAGGAGGTTTCCATCAAGGATGAGAACGGCAAAAACGCTAATGAGGATATACAGCATGAAACTGGGGCACTGCAACCTTGTGAGCAAATGACTAAGACCAACGATGGTGACAATTTCGTCTCGACGCAGCAACTGGCTCTCAAAATGCAATTTCCTTCACAATCTGATCGCTTCGATCGAACTCGTTGTCTCTTCGAGCACGGTACTGGAGGTGTCAACACCGATGAGGAAGATGATAAAGAAACGAACAAACAATAGGAAGAGAAATAAAAATTCTCATAATCTTCTATAAATAACGTTATTGTATTCCCCCAATGTTTTTTCACCTGACTTAATTTATCTGCATTTGTAAAATAATCTAATTCTTCTACGCATTTTTGTCTTGAAAGTTCATTTGTTAAATCTTGTCTAATATTCACAAATAGATTTCTGTTGATTATATTCAAATGTGTTGGAAATGTTGTAAATAAATTTGTAAATAATGTTTTGAATATTTTTTTTCCATCAAAAATAAAAAAATTGAAAAGAAAAATGTCTGTAAATAAACCAATGATTTCTGCAGCAAATAGGCCCTTTACTTTATTAATTTCACCAACAGGGAGACTTCGAACAAAAATTCCAAATTTACCGTTAAGAAAAATAATTGAAGAAGAAAATAAAACGAATGAAACTAATTGTTGTGAATAAAATAATTTAAAAAAATTTTTTATTTAAATAATTGTAAATGAATTAAAAGAGAGATCATTTTGGAAATTTAATTTGTAAAAATCATTAAAGAAAAAGAAAGGAAGAATTTTTAAATAAATAAACTATTTTTATTCAAAAATTCTCTTTCTTTTTTTAAACATTTTTAGCAAATTAAATATTTCTAAATTTAACCGTTTGTTTATGATTAGAGCCACGTTGGAGGAGTCGGTCTATATTCATTATAAAATATCGAAAAAATATCATATCGAGCCGGGCTCTAGTTATGATGACTTCTTTAAAATAATTTCTGATTACCGTATTTCCTAAAATAGTACGGCCTGCTAAATTAGTACGGCCCCCTGAAATAGTACGGCCCTTTGGAAGAGGGTTGAAAAATAGTACGGCCCCCTAAATTAGTACGGCCCCCTAAAATAGTACGGCCCCCATTTAAAAAATATAAAAATAGACAAAATTTGATTTTTTAATCATAGTAATTATTCCTCGCAATATTTAATTAATTTATTGAATCTTAATATCAATTGGTATAGAAATTGGAGTGCTTAAGAGGATATCGGTGTATTAATGGGGATTTTGTCGGATTTGGAAGGATATTTATGGACTTGGAGTGATTTAAGTATGGATGAATTTAAAAGGATTAGTTGGAATCAAGGTGAATAACGAATACCTCACTATAGTAGGGTTGTCGGATAGATGAATCAGGCCCAGGCCTAATTCATCATTTATAGTCCAGACCTAATTCATCAGCTACCGGACCTCTATTGTACTTAATGAACTTCCTTCATTCCTGGATACCATTTTTACCCCGAGGGGTACACTATAGTGAGGCTAAGATAAGATAAACGGGTAATGTAAAGAATATCAGGTTTATATTATACGTTGAAGAATATGAAATATTTAAGAGGGATATGATGATATGTATGAGAGGTTTTATATGAGGAAATGAGAGGTCCCCATCGTTCTTGATTATGGACATCACCATAATTTCTCTACTCTCTTAATACTTCGAAATTAAAAGACTTTGAGTTAATGATACCGATACCGGCTCGGGATCGGGATTTAAAAATCGGTATCGGTATTTTCTAAAAAATTTTAATATGAGCAGAAATTAAATAAATTTATTTTCAAATTCAAAGATCTTAATAATAATAAACCGCTGAACCCTAACTGATTTAACGCTTGCCTCTCCACAAAACACTAAGTAGACAGATGCGCATGACGCTCTACTAAACGCTCTACAAAATACAAAATGCTTCATTATAGACGGGGTCTAAAAAATTTTTAAGGTCTTCTAATTTCATGTTTGAAACAAGCTTTTGATTTGGGATAATTTCCGAGCATACTATTGTGGATACTATAAAAAATTTAAACGAAAAAAAGATTCAGATAATTTTGAAAAAGGGTTGAAATATAGTGCGGCCCCCTAAATTAGTACGGCCCCCTGAAATAGTACGGCCCTTTGGAAGAGGGTTGAAAAATAGTACGGCCGGCCGTACTATTTTAGGAAATACGGTATATTAACATTTTATTGCTGGGGAATTTTCACTAAAAATAAATAATATTTACTAGATTTATTTGGGAGGACATTCATAACCAAACGGTTATGAGAAGTCAATTAAATTTTTTTTAATTAAATTAATTTTCATTTTTTCATCAAAATATTATCGTTATTATTAAAATCATTATTTTGTTTAATTTCTTGAATTTTTCTTTGTTTTTTAATTACAACAAAGCCTTCTTCATTTTCTTCTTTCTCATAATTATCTTCTTCAATTTCTTCCATTTCTGTATCTAATCCCAACATTTCTTCTCCTCTTCTTTGTTCTTCAACTAAAATATAATGAATTGTTGTTGTTGTTGTTGATGTTCCTCCTGTTTCGTTTATTATTTTTTTATATTTATTTTGAATTTCTTTTTGAATTTGTGGGGGAGTTAAAGCTTCTTGAGTTAAATTAATTGTTGTTGTTTCTTGTTGATAATCATCAACATCCTCTTCACCATTCACATTTAACATATCTAATGGAGGTTCAGGCCCCGGAAGTGGAAGTTTTTCGACCTTTTTTAAAAAAGAATTTTTTAAATTAAAATTTATGTAAAGGAATATATATTAACCATTGGGTAATGTGTTGTTGTATTTGTTTGTTGGTGTTTTTGTTGTTGTTGTTGTTGTATATTTGTTGAATAAAAATTCTGGTAATGTTGTGTTGTTGAAGAAGGTAATAAATGGACAAGTGAAGAAGATGTTGAAACAATTGGAGGATTATTTGGAGAGGAGGAAAAGTTTAGAGAAGTTTTTTCTTTTAATGTTATTGGTGTTGAATTTTGTTGTTGTGCCTGGTTTAAACTTGCTTCCATTTGTAGCCACTAAATTAATTTAAGATAAAATAATTTACATTTAATTTTTCTGATTTTTTAACTATAATATAGTCAATCCTAGATAAATTATTTCTAAGATGTAAATCATATTTAATTATTTAATATCTTCATACATAGGGATGAAGTAAAGGGAAGAACTGGAACCTTCTCTTCCCTTTTCAAAATGTCAAAGAAAAACTCTAAAATTCTCAACAAAATAAATAACCTCTGGTGCCATTAATTCAATAGGTAATTTTCCCAAAATTTTTGCTAATTTTCTTTCCATAATAATAAGTAAATAATCATCAAATACAAGCCGAACTAAATGAAATTCTCCAAAAGAAGTTGAAGAATGTAAAGTAATTTCTTTTAAAAGAAGAGAAGAATGTAAAGTCCAAGCTAATAAAAATCGTTTTCCTTTACTAGCTATTTGTTGGGGGGAATATTTAAATGTTTTTGGAAAATTTAAAGCTTTATCAACAATTGATTCTAACCAATCAGCCCACTCTTCTATTGAACAATGACGAGATAAACGTTCACGAAACTGTCCAACCTTTTATAAAATATTTTTTTTTAATTTTTAAATTAATTATTATTTTTACCAATTCACGTGCCAAAACATTACAACTACAAAAACTTTCATTTAATTCTGTTGATTCTTGGAATGAATTCTTATTTAAAGAAGAGTTAGAAGAACATAACCAATCGGCTTGCCAATGAAAAACTCCAAAATCAACACTAATAATTAAAAAAAAATTTTCTAAGTAAAGCTGCCTAATTTAAATGTTTAAAATCGAAAAGGAAATTAATTAATATTTAAATAAAATGTTAAATTAATTAATTTAAAAATTATTTTTAAATTTATGGCAGGGGAATGATGTTAATTAAATTAATTTACCGATTAAAATCATCGTGTACTTTTTTAACTTGTTCTTTATTTTGTAAAACACTTCTAGCGGTAATAGCCAAATGAACAAAAGAAGATAAACGAGTTAGAGAATTAGCCAATAACCGAATACATTCTAATTTAGCTTTTTTAAATGCTGGGGGAATTAAATAATTTAAATTTGAATTATTTCCTCCTCCCAAAGCATTTTCCATCCAAAATTCAATACTTTTACCAAAATTTCGAAGATTATTACATAAATCACCTTTTTTAAGAAAAAAATAATTTTTTTAATTAAAAAATAAAAAAACTTTCTAAAGGAATTCTTAATGGACTAGAAAAGAAAAAATCCAAAATAATTTGATAAAATTTTAAATCAAAAGTTTCAACATAAGAAATAATTTCAGGCAAAGAACAAAGACGACATAAAGAACGATTATCCAAAATCGGAGCACCACGCATTAAACCTCTGTAAAAAAATTAATTTTAAATATATTAATTAATTAATAGTTTATTATAGGGCTTCTTTTGTGAAAATGTTAAGTTGAAGTTTACAATATGTAAAAAAGAGAAAAAATGTATTGGAAACAATGTCATTTCCTTATAATACAAGTCTTGCGGTAATTATTCTTAATTTAAAATTGTGAGATCCAAATCTCTCGAATATTTCAGTTTCCTCGATATATATTCATATTTAGGTAAATGGTGGTTTAGAGCCCTTGACTCGATAATCCCGAAAAAATATCTCGCATCTCGTACTTAACACTATTCACATATATTTAAAAAATAACAAAATTACTTACAATTCAACATTATTTTCTTCGTTTCTTCCTCTTTGTTGACATTGTTCAATATCACCATCATAAACAATATTTTTTTGCCAAAAGGATATCCATAATTGTTCAATTAATTTTAATCGAAAATCTTTTACACAATTTAAAACTTTCTTCAAAAAAATAATTTATTTTCTTTCTTTAAAATTAAAAAAACCCTGGAATGCTCTCTATATTCATCAAAAAACTTCAAAACATGCCCAACACTTAATCCATATCTTAAAAGAATACATTCATCCAAAATAGGTAATTCTATTTCTGGTAATCTTAGCCCTCCTTCTTTTATTTCAATTAAATCATTTAATTGTGGAGGGGGTAATAAAAATGTTGGGGGAGATAATGAAGAAGAAGTATTTAATGTTGTTGTTGTTGATTGTTGGTGTTGGTTGTGATGATTAATATTTGATGGATAAATTATGGGAGGACTGTTAATATTAAATATAGTTAATTTTTAAAAATAAATTTTTACTATGAAATTAAATTTTTTTGGAATTTTAGTGGTGATTTAATGAAATTCTCATTATTTTAGACACTATAAAATCTTAATCTGAAAGAACTTTTGAATAGTGATTGGAAAATAAAAGGAAAGTTTAGATTATTATTTAATATCAGGGATCTAGCCGTCCCGATTCCCGAAAATCGGGAATTGAATTTTTATGTCGGCTAGATCCCTGATACATATATACCTTTGTTGTTGTTGATATTGTTGTTCTAATTCAATATTAATAGATTCTTCTCTTTCTTCACATGGAGATGTTGCCGCGGAAGAAGAAAAATTATTTAAATTATTTGAATTTATTTCTCTTTCAATTTTTCTTTTTGATTTTTGTAAATTATTATTGTTAAATTGTTGTTTTCTTTGTGAACGTTGAGAGTTTTTATGTGGTTGTTGTGAACCATTCATCATTCTTTCTAATTCATCTGCACTCATTGTAGCACGTAAAGGACTGTTTTGTTTTAAACAAATACCTTTATTTAAATTTAAATTTTAAATTAAATTTTCTTTTTTTTTATTAGAGTTTAAAGTGCCGGATCCGGTTTCTGGATTTTTATTTTAAACCGGACCGGATTTTCCGGATCAAAGTCTGCAAAATCCGGGTTTTATCAAAGTACCCGTTTCCAGACCACCGGATCCGGAAAATCCGGATCCGGTCCAGGTTTAAACTCTTTTTTTATTTACCATTATAATGATATTTACTATTCCCTCTAGTACCAAGACGGCGAGTAGATAATTTTTGATTAAAAACTTGACGAATTAATTTTCCAAAAGATGCAGCATTTACTTGGGTAAATCCTAATTCTTTGCAATGACTAGAAAATTAATAATAAATTCAAAAAAAATTAATTAATTTAACTCTATATATTGCTTGTAGAGTATATTTCGAGGCAAAGATGCGCCCTCTACTAATTCATAATTTGCTTTAATCCATTCTAACTAAAATTTAAAACATTTAATTTAAATTTATTTTTTTACTGTTTCAGGAGGCGCTTTAGCAATATTATTTTGATTATTTTGTTCTCCTTCATTATCATTTTTCGAACAATTTTTTGTTCTTTTTCCTTCATTTTCAGAATTAATATCTTCATCAATTATTATTATTTGTCTATTATTTTCTCCTCCCCCTCCTCCTTCTACTTCAACTTCGTCTACAGAAATATTTGGAGATTTTCTTTGATTATTTAATCCAGATCTTCGAAGAACAAATGTATGTGGAGATTGTAATAAAGTACTTGTGGGAGGTTGTTGTTGGGGATTTAATGGATGTTGTGAAGTATGTTGGTGATAATGCTGTAAAGAAATTTTGATTTTTTTCGAGAATTTTAAAAAGAAAAATAAGAAAAGAAAAATTGGCCAAAAGTTGGTAAACTTTATACAAACTTTTTTGAATATTTTTCTTCGCAGCAGGTAGTAAGTACATAAATGGAAGGCTTCCTCCTTATTTTTTTGGAAGAAAATATTTAGGTAAAAATAAGAATAAATATTTTGTTATTATAAAATGAAGAAAACGTTTATAAGGTTCAACCGACCATAAAAAATATTTAATAAATAGTCCACACACAAAATAAAAAATATTTTAATTTTATAAAATAAAAAATCGTTTAAACATAAAGTTTAATTTCAATTAAAGTCTAAAATAGCTAAACCCCCTCGACCTCGTTGTCAAGTAATAAGCTTAAACTTTGAATTGAAACTCTCTAAGGAATTTTTAGGACATAATTTAGTAGTGGCTATTTTCTCCTCGGTATTCTGAAAGTTTCTGCATACATTTTGTTGCCAATAATAATTTCCTGACTTTTATTTATTAAAGACCTTTCTAACTGTTAACTTATCAAAATATTTTTTTCAAAAACCCTTATATGATCAAAAAATTCTTCCCCTCCTTCTCCTACCCATCCCAATTCATTCCCTTATAAATTCCTCACAGATGCTTCAATTAATTGTTGTTGTTGTTGTAATATTTGTTGCTGTTGAATTTGGCGTCTTCCTGTTGAAAAATAATTAATTTGTTGTTGTTGTTGCTCTTGTTGTTGTAATTGATGATGATGATGTTCAGGATTATTTTGTTGTTGTTGTAATAGAGAATTTGCCGTTAAAATATGAAATGTTATTGGAGTTGAAGAGGATACTGCTGCTAATGTTGCCTTCAATTTTATTTAAAATTAATTTATTAATTCTTTGAATACCTGTTGCTGTTGTTGTTGACCACCCATTGTTCCAATTACATAACTTCTACTTAAATCAAGTTTTGCAGTCGTAACCCCCTCCTCTCCAATAATACGTCCACACGGTCTGTTTACAATAGCAGTTGATGAAGAAGTTCCAGGAGAGGGTGTAGATGAAATAGATGAGGAAGAAGGATGTTGTTGACGTCCAGAAGGATCAATCATACAAGAAACACGTGAATATGTCCCTCCATTTCCATGTTGGTGTGGAGGAGGGGGAGGAGGTTGAAATCCGCCGTTAGTATTGTTGTTGTTGTTATCTGTTTCTTGACTATATAAAGTCCAACATGAAGAAGGATGATGATGTTGATGTGAACAAGAAGAAGAGGATGACGAAAGTTGAGAAGATGAATGTATGGAAAGATTAGTAGAACATTGTTGTTGGTTATTGTTAGTTGAAGTTAAATTATTGTTAATTGGTTGGGGACGTGAATTCCCTAACAAATTAACGGGTGGAAGAATACCTCCAAATGATGGAGAAGATGAAGAATTAGAAGATGTAGATGAAGAAGATGAGGAAGAAGGGGAAATAAATGATGAAGGACACGGAGCGAGGAATGGTGGTAATTCCATTGAGAAAAAATATGTAGATTATTAGATGAAGTTAGAATAAATATTCTCTGATATTTCTCTGATACTTCGAAATACTATGTTACATATATCTTCTGATTGATGAACTTATTTTTTATTTATCTTCTTTTTGTTTGTTTGTAAATTCTTTTTTTATTTAATTTCTTACGAAATATGTAGGTTGAGGTAAATATAAATTACAGATAGCTAAAAAATGCAGCTGGCTTTCTTTTAAAAATTATTTAGTATTTGAGAAGAAGCCAATAAAAAGAATCTAATCAAAAATCTTACTGTGCTTGTCTTATTAATTTTCTCACTTTTTTGTTTCATTGCGCGCCGAGTAGAAATATTTATTACAAACAAGCAATTTACTCTAGCCTTACTTTCATAGCTTTAACATTTAGTTAAAATATAACAATTTTATATATCATTTATTATAACCATATTTTTGTTATTCTAATATCTACTATCTCTAATATATCTACTATCTATTTTTTAATTTCCTTCACTTCTCAATCTCTTCCTTTTTCCCCCACATCATTAAATCTCTTTTCTAGTATATTAAATCTCTACCTCTCTCAGAGGATTATTAATCCAACATGAGATATACCTTATGCTTATGTTAAGCATCTGTTATGACGGCACGCAAGTCGTTTTACATGCTAACATTTAACGTCTATTTTCCATTTTTCCCCTCTAATTATCTAGCTACATAGCGGTAAATAATAAATATTAAATACAAAACTGCCAAAATTGTAGGGATATTTTTCTCATTATCGCGCACAATTTGAGAGTAAAAGGAGTGTTGGCAAGGAAACGGTAGGAGCCAGTCGGTGGAAGAAAGAACCAAGAGAAAATATGTATAATTTATAAAATTTTAAAATTAATAAAATTATGTTAAGGATAAATTTTTGATTGAAAATATTTTTAGATCGAAAAAATTTTGAATTTGAAGTAAAGTTTACTTTAAAATATTATGAAGAGAAAAATGTGTTTTGTAGGTGATTTTTAGATGTTAAAGGATAGACTATTTAGTATAATTATTATTTAAATAATAACCATACCGGATAATATCCAGAATGTATTCCAGTATTGTTTCCATAAATACTACCAACATTTCCTGCATTAGTTGTATGTATTTGTCCAAAATAATTCCCGGTTCCATTAACATTTGAAAGTCTATAAAAATACTTTTAAAAATTAACAAAAAAAGGTTTTTTTAAATTTGCCTAGAATTATTTCCATTTCCTGGACTAAGCAATAATAAACTAGAAAATGAAGGTGAATGTGTATTTATGCCATTATCGTTAACACCATGCGCGCCATTGCCATTCAAAATATTATTACCGATCAAAAGATTCCCCCCACAATTATTTTCTTGTAAAATTAAAGGAGGGAGAGGTGTCCCCCAACAACAAGCCGAACAATTACATTCATCAAAAATTACAGTGCTAGGTGTATTTGTTCTACTAGAGACACCCATTAAGGGTGGATCATTTTCTAATGAAGAAGAATTTGGGGGAGAAGTAGAGGGAAGGGAATTATTTGGGGGTGGAATATTTGTAGAAGAATTAATTGTTGATCCAAAAATTTGTTGGGTTTGTTGTTGATGATGTTGTGAGAGATAGCACCTTTTATGTTGTTGATTATGATGATGATGATAATTGTTTTCAGCTGATAATTATTTTCTTTTTTTTATAATTTTTAAGATTTACCAAATTTACTCTAATCGAATGGCAGATATGAAATTTTCTTTTAATTTTTTCTGAATATTTACTAAAAATTATATTTTTTATTTTATCCTAAACTGTTATTTAGCTAATAATAATTAGCTAATAATTGATTGGTAAACTTAAAGAAATAAAAATTATTAATTAATAAGTGCCATATTTGCCATTTTAATTAGAGAAAATAAGGCAAGAAAATTTTTGTAATTTTCAATATTTTTTTCAATCACCAAAAGAATTATTTGCTGTTCTAGTATTTCCCAAATCTTCAATAATTAAATTATTTTGTGGAGAAGGCAAAGCAGAATTGAATAATCCAAATTCGTTATTGTTTTGTTGATTATGTTGAATAGAATTAGGAATGTTATGATTATCTCCCAACAATAAAAGAGAGGGGGAAGACCTCTCACACTCTGACGTATTTTTAGTGGTTGAGGAAGAGGAGAAGAACATTTTTGGGAAAGTTAAAGATTTAAGAGATTTATAAAACTTGAGAAATTTAAAATTATTTAAAATTTTTGATCGTGTAAGAATACTAAAATTTTATTAATTTTTGATAAATATATTTGTTTATATATTTACTTTCAACAAATTTTTCTTCTAAAAATAGAGTAAAAGAGGAGTGTTATTTATATTTATTTTGTGTTTAGAAGGTGCCAGATTTGTAGCCTTTCTCCCATCATTATATAAAAATATAATAATTTTCCAGGTGCCCTTCTTAGCGAATGGTACGAAAATGAGGTGTTTTGAATTTAGATGGACATATTAAAGAGGGAGGGGTTTCTTGGCAAATGATTGAGAGTGGATAATTGAATAGATTTTTGATGGTCAGATAAGGAAGGGAATGAATTCTCACATTAAATGAAGGGAGAAAGAGAAAATTAAAGTAAATGTGAGATATTAAAAGTAATTTTGGAATGAAATTAGGAATAATATTGTAATCAAAAAAGCTTGTAAGGTAGAAGGGAAAATCGTTTTAAATAAACAATTTGTGTGAAAATATAGTGAAGACCTAATTTAAACCAGAAAGACCAACCGGCAAATAACGGTCTTTGGCCCCGCCCTTTATCCTTTCTAATGGTCAATGAGGAAAGAAAAGGTGGACAAGACCGGATAAGGACCTTCTTTCCCAATAACTACCACAATCTCCACCTGGCACATAAGAACGATAACAAGCATTTAAAGGGATAATAACGAGGCGGCAACAAAAAGAGAAAAAAGGCCAACGGCTATAACACATGCACACAAATATATAATTGCTCTATTTTGTGGAATTAGGGGAAGGAATTGGATAAATTATGAAAAAGAATTAGAGGTTATTTTTAATGAAAATTTATTTTCTGGATAGAGTTGGGATTCTAGTTTTCTCCACTTGTACTTCATATAGCCCCATTTTTTGGCCTAATACTCGTACTTCTACCTGCCTACTTTTAAATTTTTTGTTGAACAAGGTTCCTTCTGAATTAAATAATTCAAACAACCAGGCACGACAATCAAAATCTAAATTTCCAAACTGTTTAGAAAATTTGCCCCCATAACTGGAGCTGCCAAAGAATATGGCAATTAATGTGTTGTTTTAATATTATTATAAAACATTTATATATCTTTTGATTGGTATGGCAATGGCGCACAGACGTATATACAACAAATAATGACAAAAAAATTACGTATTTAAATAAAAATTTAATTAAAATCAGCAGCAATTATTAAGCATAATTAGTTAATAATAAAAATATAATCAAATTAGAAACTGAAAAATAATTAGAATTACCAAACTCTTTAACTAAATGTAAAATTAAGTTATTAAAATAATTAAACATTTTTTAAATTTTTTAGGAAAATAATAATAAAAATAAAATTTCTAAATAAATATTCAAATAATATAGAAACTATATTGGACATGAATGAATTCAGTCTGGTAACCAAAGTGAATGAATAAAATTGTGAATTTAAAAATGTTAAGTGTTTATATATACAAGTAGCCGTTGTTGTTGACGACACCTTGAACCAAAAACCATGGAGAGAGGACCAATGCCGGAGTCCTGGTGACCAACCAATTCTGAATTTTTTAGCCCCTCCTTGTTCTCCTGGCAACAACATCCTCCTCATCATCATAAAAACACAAAAATACATAAAAGTTTAAATTTTGTTATCCTCTCTGATATAAATTTCATCAAATTATGAATGAAGGAGGGAATTTGAAAGACTGAACAATTAATTAAGGAAAATAAATGTTTTGTTTTAAATAAAAGGAATTTTTATAAAATGTAAATCTAAGGATGAAATAAATGTTTAAATGAGAAAGATATATTCATCTCGATCTCCTCCCATTTATTTTTCGTTTCCCTGGACATCAAAAATATATCAGTTAGTCTCTTAGTAACATCCACACATTTATTTATTAAATATCGGCACGGCAACGGAAGATATACATATATCACCAAGGTTCTACAACTCCCCTTCTCGAAATAAATTTATCCGTTGCCCTGGATCCAATTTTACAAAGATCCATTTAGTCGTTACCTTAGAATCCAAATGGAAATCCATGGCAAAAGCTTTTTAAAAATAAAGGATCCATTGGCAACAAGGATGAATTTTTGTTTAATTTATTTTAAATTAAATAATTTAATATTTAATTAAAAATTGAAAAGTTTTAAATAATTTTAAATTAAAAAATTAAAACGTCAAAACTTATTTTAAAAAATAATAAATTCCAGATACATTTTCAATAATTAATATATTTACTATATGTATCGTTTTCAATTAAATAATTTCCAATATTTTTTTAATTGAAGAAATTTTTCTAATGAAATAAATTCAACACAAGGTTCCCCAATAAGTAAAATTAATAATTTACCCATCATCAATTAAAATGAATGAAAAAATCGAAGAATTGAACGGAAATTGGCAAAAAAAAGGAAAGAGAAAGAAAAGTACCTACTCCCCCCCTCCCCCGCACATTGGTGCCAATTATCAGAGCCGGCAATCTACCTTGATTTTAGAGAATGAATTGGCACACACCTGCCTAAAACGAAATGAGCGGAAAAGAATTGGAAGGATATGAATAGAGAAAAATTATTTGGAATTAATGGGAAAAGGAAATAAAAATATTTTTTAAATTAAAAAAAATAGCATATGGAAAATGAATGAAAATATATTTAATTGATGTAAAATAAAGGTCAAAATTTTTGTTAAAATTTAATTTTAAAAATCAAAAATTATTTTACTAAATTTTTATTTTAATTAATTTACTACCTATTTTCAGACAAAATTTGTTGTTGATGTTGTGCAAGCCATGGCAAAGAAGCAAATGCTGCAGCCGCTGCAAAACTTCCATGAGCGGCAATCAAAGCAGCAGAAGAGGAAGAAGGCGAACATGAAAATGATGGTTCCTTTAATTAAAAATTAAAAAAATATCCAACTTGCAACGTGTCCCCTTCCAGATTTTGTTTTTAATGGTAAATTGTTTGAAATATTAGTAGGGTTTTTGTATAAAATTAATGATGATGGGGAAGAATTTAATAGACCATTAGAACGCATTTTATAAAAGGCTCAGATAATTTCTAGTAAATATTTTTTTATTTAATATTTTATAATTATTAAATAAAACCTAGCAGCTAAAAAAAACTCATTTTTAGCTTAAAATAATTTCAAGAGTTTATGGAAAAGTTTAAATAAAGCAATAATTCTCATTTTTGTTTCCTCAAAAATTTACTCCAATTACAGTAAAACAATTTGTAAAAAGCGGTAAAAATGAGAAAAAAGTAAAAGAATATTTAACTACTAAAAACAAAAATAACCGGTTGGCCCGTTTTCTAAAGCAAAAACAATTTTACCTTTTATTCTTCATAGAATTTTGCATATTTTTAGCAGGCTCAATTACTTTTATTTTTGGCAAAGAGAAAATTCGGAAAAATGAGGAAACAAAAAAAAGTGGAAAAAACAAATTAAAAGAATAAGAGTAAGTTGACATTTAAATATAAGAGGAAGATTACCTATCAATTAAAATCTTAAAAATTACAAACAAAAAAGTTATACAAAGTTTTTAAGTAATTAAATTGCTATAAAAGTCTATCAGATTTAGAAAGTTACAATATAAACATAGCTTTCACGTACTGCGTTCGGTAGTCTTCGTCTTCGGCAGTGGTAAGTCGATTTAAGTTTTTTTATAAATTATACTTTCCGAATCACTTTTAAAGATGAGTCAAGTAGATGCGTGGATTTTTCTAAGTATTTCTGCTGGCATTCTTGTTTCTGTACTCGTCATTATCTTCTGCGCTATAAGCAAGGGTTCAAATAAAAGAAAGGGCCATGTCGTTCGCACAGGACCGCCACCACCAAGACCTATGCATAGTGGCCCTCCAAGACATATGTTTGCTGGTCCGCCGCCGCGATTACAAAGGCCGCCACCGATTGTAGCACATCCACCGGTAAATGTATTCTTTGTTTCAAAACACAGGTTCTTTTTAGATGCCTGTTGGTCCGCCACCAATTCAGCGACAACAGCCTGTTCCTCCGCCAATGTATCCACCTCCGCAAATTTTGCCTTCGGCACCATCGCCGCCTCCTGCGTTTGTGATCTACTCAAATAACAATTTGTTATCTTCATTTATTTTAGATATGTACCACCACCGCCTTTACCAGTTGTTGTGCTTCCTCCTCCACCATCATCTAATGTTCCAGTTAAAGAACCTTCGCTGCCTCGATTACCAATTTTGAACACTCCGGCAAAAGGGACATCTACCGATTCGCATCCACCTCCTAATGTTGGATGGGCTCCCACAATAGGACTGGCAAAGGTAGACAGAAAAATTTTGATGTTCATTAATTAAAAATTCCAGGATCCCTCAACTGCATCGCCGAATGCTGTCGTTCTTCATCCGATTGGACTTTCTAAGAGGAAAGATACAGCAACAAGTACAACAACAAGTAGTACCAATAGCTCTGATTCGAGTATTGGAACTACTACAGAACGAACTCAAGAAGATGACGGTGGGATTCTAACTGTGCCAAGGAAGAAGGAAAAGAGTCGTCGCAAGAAGCATAAACGAAAGCGACATTCGAAATCAAAGAGGAAGTGATCAAAAAGAAGCAAAAGGGGAAGGCGATAAATCATAAGAATAATTGGGAGGTATGTAATAGATATTTGTAATCTTCTTTGTTATGTATAATTTCTCTGTATTAATGTTGGTGTATATTGTTGTATAATTAATATACCTATTTGTTTGGTATATTGTAAAAATAAATAGTAGTTTTATTGTTGATCTAGTCTTATTTTGAAATCAGAAATTCGTACCCCAAGTTTACATAATTTTTCTAAAAATAATCTTACTGTGAAAAGCAAGAACTTTAATAGGATTTATAATTTGTGGGGTTTGTATTATTAGAGAGAAAATATTTTATTTAAATTAGAATCTGTGCTTACTTTTCGAAATTCCCCCTTTCTTCCCAAAAACTAAACCTTTTAAAATATAAATTTATTTAAATAATTAATATACAAATTTTTCTTTTATAAGTTTTTATAATTAAATTTAATACATAAATATTTAATTTAACACACTATGTTCACCTAATACATTACGACGTTGTTCCTCTACATCCACTTTCCACTTATTTTGCTCAGCTGTTACCTGAATATTTTAAAATAATTTTAAAGAAAATAATTTTTTTGTGTTAAAGAAAATCATTTAAGAAACTATCCAAAACGAAACAATTCCTCACTTAAATTATAAAAATACTCAGAAATTCCTTAATATATTTAAATTAAAAACCTTTTCAATAACTTTGTCATGCAATGAAGCTTTAACTGTACTATTAGCAGTTGTAGCATTAGTTGAATGGCGAGAACGCGTTTGTTGTCGATCTTCTAAAGAAATAGCTGAGAATTCATTTGATGATGGTATTCCTTCTGTTGTACTCGAAAATATATGGTCATCCTTAAAAATTAAAAAGGTTAGGGAAAATCCAAATGAATTTTTAATTCAAAAACTTATTTAGGGAATAATATGTAAAGAGAGAGCTCTTCCTTATTTTTAAAAAATATTTTTAGACTAAAAATTACAAAAATAAATTTAGGTCCATAAAAAAAAGGGAAGAAAGAGAGACAAGAAACGGAAAGTGCCTAACAATAATGGATTGATCATCCATGACATCGGATGCAACCACCGAGGCTTCATCCGAATCTTGAAGGAACCAAAATGTGTTCAAATCACCAACGTCCTCTCTATCAACATCTGTATGGCGACTGTAAGGTATAAAAGCTGTTGAATTTGGTTGCCTTTGTCTAAAAACCATTGGCTCAACAACACCCAAATAGAGCATGTAAGAGCCAAGAATAAAAATAACGGCAATGACGAACATAACAACAACCTTAAAAATAATTTATTAAAAATCTCCAATCAAAATTTTCTCTTAATAATCAAAAAAATTTCCTCCAAAAAAATTACAAAAATTAAACCTTCAATAAAAGTGAATTTCTCGATTCAAATCGACAATTACAATTTGCCAAGAAAGCGTCAAGTCTTGTCCCCTCCACAATTGATTGAACATCTTTTTTAACGACAGTTTGTGCATTGCTTTAAAAAAAATAAAAATTTTATTAATTTTTTAAATTAAAAAATAACCAATTTGACGACTCCAAATTAGTTTTTGTATAATAACGTCTATAATGTTGTGAGTGATTTGTGCCTTTTGGAGCAAAATATTCAGTACTTGGACATGTACATCGACAACGAGTGTCTTCAAAATTCGCCTAAATATAAATTTTTATTTAAAATTATTTAAAAATTAACTTCTGCCGATTAAAAAAATGTCGAAAAAATAAAAAATAAATTAATTAAATTTAAAAATGAATTGGCCATCATTTATAAATTACTAAAAAAATTAAATTTTAATATAAATTACAGATAATTTTCATTCTCTAAAATAAGTTAAACGAAAAATAAAATTTGTAAAAACAATTTATTTATAAACGTGGATAACAAAATAAAAACAAATTTGGATTAAATGTCATTTTTCAAAATAAAATATCATGTGCAGAACATGTAAAAAACAATTAATTATAAAGATAATTTTATTATCAAAAATTAAAACAAAAAATTCCCTTAAAAACAATTTTATAAATATGTATAGAATAAATTGATAAAAATATGTAAATATAATTAAATTGTATTTAAATCATCGATTGTTCTTTTATAAACTTTTCCTGGCACAAAAGGCTCCCAACGAGATGCCGGGTAAATATGTTTATTTTTTTCGTACCACGAACGTAGAACAACCTAAAATTTTTATTCAAAAATTTCTTCTAATTAAAAAAATTACCTTAACTGGATGGCTTTCTCCAACATCAAGAGCAGCATCTTGTCTAACTCGTATTTCACCAACAGATTCAAATTGCCACAAAGGACCAGTTTTTCCCATTTGCCGAGTTTTAATAAAATCTTGAAATCTAAATTAAATTTAAAAAAAATTAAAAAAAAATTTATTTACGTATAGAAATGAGGAATAATTAAATCTTCTTTAATGAACATCTGTATAAAAAAAATATTTAAAAAATTATTTTTATTTTTTTACCAAATTCTCTACAGTTGCCAATTTCAATTCCAAAAATTCTTTCCGAAATAACTAAAAAAGGAAAATAATTTTTTTAATTAAATTTTAATTTTAAACATCCAAAGCTTTTTGTAAAAATTGTGCAATTGTCGTTCCCTTCTTTGTTTTAAAATCCCTACGATGTGAAGACCCATCCCAATAACAAAATGCAACCATAATTTCTTCGTTTTTCTCCTTTTCTTGCATTTCTAGCCATTCGGCTCCAATTCTTTCACGTTCTCTAAGAAAATTTAATAAAATTCTTTTAAAATATTAAAACCTTTGAATTTGTTCATCACGTTCTCTGTCAGGCAAAAATGAAGTATCAACAGTCGGGTCCATTCCTAACCGTTTCTTTACTATAACAACTGGTTTTTCATCTTCTTCCTCATCATCGAAATTTTTGAAGGATAAAACTCTCTTCTGAAATAAAAAAACTTTTAAAAAATTCGAATTATCAAGTGACCACTATGTAGATTTAATTTTGACATTTAAGTCAGATTTTTTAGGAAAATATTAATTTTGCCAGATATTTCCAGAACTGACATTTTAACCTCAGAATCAATTCTTATAAAAGCCCCAGAGAGTCTGGCAAAAGTAATAAATTTAATTTATAATTTCACCTGAACTACTCTATCAAATCTCGGTTTTTGTTCATTATCGTCAGTTACTTTTGACAATCTAAAATAAAACAAAAAAATTAATTAATTTTATTAAATCCAAACTCTTTATTTAGAGAATAAATCTCATTTTGTCTCTCTTTAACTTCATCCAAAGTTACTAAACCAACTGTACTAGCTTTAAACTTTTCTTCAATCTGATCAACATTTGTTGTGAATTTACTAGAAATACCAGCAGCAACTAAAAATTAAAAAAAAAATAATTAAAATCTTTTAGAAAAAACAAACAAGATTTCTTTTCCTCTTCCAATTTTAATCTTTGCTTTTCAATATCTTCTTTTGCACGTTCTCTCCTCTTTTCAAGATGTATTATCCGACCAGAATCTGCTTGAGACATCATTTTGAGAATAAAACCGAGTTTTGCCTAAAATTTTTCAAAAATGACAAGGGAAAAGAAAGAAATATTTTAGTAAAAATATTGTGCAGGTAGATAAATTAAAAGGTAGAAAATTCGATTTAAAGATCTCGCGGTTAGAAATAATTGAAAGGTAGGGCAGGCAAAATCGATCAAAAGATCGTTAACTTAAAAGGTAGATAAAGGTAGATAAGTCAAAAATTTATTTAAAAAATCGACAAGGGCAATTTTTTGAATTCGGAAAGGGAAATTTGAGTGCCACAAATTTAATTCAGGCACTTAGTTCTGATTTCTGGTTTTTATTTATTTTTTGTTTCGGTTCAACATTTTGTTTTATACTGTATCCTAAAATTCTAAATTCAAATACTCTTTACCAATTTTATACTCGAGATAAGTTTAACAATACAATAAAGGAATATACATTCTAGTTTATATACAAACATAATTACCTAATCACATTTAAGGATAGGGATAAAAATAGGGACTTATATACAATAGTTTGTCATACTTATGTACAATCATCTATTCTTCCTTAATTATAGTACATACATCAATTCCTACACATCAGGCTAGTGCATCAACAGAATCAAGCATCATAGAACTCTTCTAAATATGTGAAATTTTAAAAGTATTCCAGTTATTAATAATTACCCTCTAGGCCAACATCGCCATTATCAGTGCCGCCTTCGTTCTCCGCTTGCTGACGCTTTACTCGAGCCTTGATTACGTACTCCTCCTCAGTTTCAGGTACCTTCACTCCGTCCTTAGCTGCCTCCGCCTTCGACTTTTCAACCATTTTCCTGAAACAACAATATACATTTTAATCGTTTTCACACTATTTTCATACTTGATTATATCTGGGAATTCTTTGTTGCCATTCTCTGAAAAAATTATTTATTTTTGGAGGCAATTTTTAATGTTTTTATTACCCTTATACTTGCGGTAGCTCACAGAAGCATCCACATTTGCCGGTGAAGAAATGTTAGGCTCATTCAGCATCGATATCACGGAGAGTAGAATACTGCGGACGCCATGAGCAGGGTTCCAACGTTCGGCGGCCGACTAAAAAACAAACGAGATTTTTTAGTAAAGTTTATGTTGTATTACTTCTCCACTCAGCTTATCCTGGCCAGGCGGGTGCAAGATGCTTATGCATACCCTTCCGTCCTTATACACATTAGGATGAAAGATTGGATTATCGAAGCGCATGGAAGGAGGCTCGAATGGATATTTGGGCGGGAACTTGAGCGTCTGCAAAAATAAATGTTAATGAATTATTATGTAGAAGCAAAAAAAGTAACCAACCGCCTTGAAGTAGCCTCCCTGTAAAATTAAAAATTTCAATATATGTACTTTCAAAAACGAATATTGTAAAAGGACCTGATAGATCGTTCCAGGCGCACCAAATATGGCAACCTTCCATATGAAGATATTTTCGGCAACAGAATGAACTTTGATACCCTCGATTGGATTATCAGTCACATCAACAAGCTCCTGTTGCAGACGACGGAGGGCATTTGGGGGAGAAGTGCTTAGTTGTTTTGTAGCGGCACGCTTAAAATCATGAATTCGTTTAGATAACGTAAAAGTATGTACATACCATAGGTCCCTAGCCCTTCGTTATGGAGTTGAGCGTGAGTAGGTACGAGTAGTTGCTGGAGAAGATAGATATTCATTTAAAGATTTTGCTTTTTATATGAACTTCATATGAACTTCTTCATATAAAAGCAAGAGATGAATGAACAAATCTAAACTTCAATTTGCCATTAGCACCTAAAACGACATCATTGGCACAACAATCTCACATGGCTGGCGAGCTGCATTCTCACATGGCTGGAGTATCCTTGTTGGATAAGCAATATACCTGCGAACGTCAACTGGTTCCTTCGCCCCTGAAGATGATAAGCGGTAGTCCTGCCCAGGCTTCAGAAACTCGTCAATGCGAAGTTGAATTGTTCGTCATTCGGGTTCAACATGAGTTCACCAAAGTAAGTTCACCAAACTATACTTTTTTAAACTAAATTCTATTGATATAATTTTTATACAGAAAGCTGTTTTGCCTCCATTGGATGTGTGGAAACGTGTCTTGGATCGTGGCTCATTCCGGTTTGCCTCGTTGGATGTGACCATCAAGCGTCGTGGGCTGTTCGGAATTGAACGTGCGGTGTCCTATGGCATACATACATGTGTTCTGAGCAAGCAAGGTCATCTGGTCATCTATACGGACAATTGGAAGCACGAGGGCTTCACCGTTAATCTGAGCAAGGCTGCAAGAACGGAATTCAAATGCAAAACTCAGAAGGTAAAAATTTAGAAAAGTAAATACAATTAAAAGTTGTAATATTTCCTTTTAATTATCAGATGTTTCTATCAACAACAACGCAAAGAATCTGCAATGTTCGTGTGAAATGGAACTTTGGCTCGATAAAAATCCGTCTTCCAGAGTCCCTGGTCTTAGATTGGGGACGCGCGATACTTGAAGCTGTACGTGGTAAAGCTGAGGCTTCTTACGAATCTCATCACTATTCATCGACTGTTCATTATCGACCCACTACTCCAATTCTCTTCGAAAACGGCACGCAGACAGATTCTGTGTTTGAGGAGCAGGCAAGCATTCCTTTTTGAGAATCTTTAATGAATTATATTTCAGACTGTCACCTTCGATGGAAATGTTGGCGATATCGTTCCAGTTCCTTCTGTGCGTGCGCCTAAGTCCGACGATGGAATATTCCAACTTCTTGATCCTGATGATTCCTTTGGTGAGTTGATATGTATTGTTAGATACGGCTAAATGATTTAATTTTTTAAGCATATCGTTCGGATGATGAATCTCTCCATCTGGGCGAAATGTTTGGGAGCAATGATCAGAGCATAAACACCGCTAAAGAACAAGAGATGCAACCACATTCCGTTGAAAAGAAGGAAGATGTCGATCATGATGAGAATGAGGAGAAAATCGCTTTTCCTCTTGAAAAGGCGCTGTTGTTGAACTTCCCTTCAGAGAACAAAGAGCAACAACAAGAAGACTACATTCCTGAAAGTGCCGTCATAAGCTCAGGTTCATTGCGACGACGTGTCACCTTCTCAGACCTGAACACCATCTTCGAGGCACCAGAGAATGAAGATCCAGTGGAAGAAGATGAAACTTCTGAATTGAAGCAAGACAACAACCGGAATGATGTGAAGGACACAGAGGGAATTGAGGAGCGCAGAAAGGTGATAATTAGTTAGGAAAAAATTATCTATATGTAATTTTTCTTTAGGAACACATTGTCCAATTGGCGCTTGATCAAATGCGCATTGTTGGTCAACACGGAGTGAAGGAAACAACAACAGCTGAGGAGGTTTCCATCAAGGATGAGAACGGCAAAAACGCTAATGAGGATATACAGCATGAAACTGGGGCACTGCAACCTTGTGAGCAAATGACTAAGACCAACGATGGTGACAATTTCGTCTCGACGCAGCAACTGGCTCTCAAAATGCAATTTCCTTCACAATCTGAGCGCTTCGATCGAACTCGTTGTCTCTTCGAGCACGGTACTGGAGGTGTCAACACCGATGAGGAAGATGATAAAGAAACGAACAAACAATAGGAAGAGAAATAAAAATTCTCATTTTTCAGAGAAATATTTCTCTCAATTCTCAGAGAAATAAAAATTCTCAAGAGAAATAAAAATTCTCATAATCTTCTATAAATAACGTTATTGTATTCCCCCAATGTTCTTTCACCTGACTTAATTTATCTGCATTTGTAAAATAATCTAATTCTACATATTTTTGTCTTGAAAGTTCATTTGTTAAATCGTTTCTAATATTCACAAATAGATTTTTCTGTTGATTATATCCAATTGTGTAGCGTGTAAATAAAATCGAGAAATTTGTTCGTATATTTTTGATCCCCTATCAAAATACAATAAATATTTTTATATACATAGACAAGATTAATAATAAATTTTATATTAATGGATGGAATTTTTGAGATCATTTTTATTATTAAGCCGGCTTTTCTTCTTGATTCAGGTCAATTGTATGATGTTCATTGTTTTGATTATCTTGACCATTGCTAGGAGAATTAGCAAAACCATTTCTAAAAATAATCCATTATTTCAAATCAATTATTTTTTTAAATTTTTAAAAGAAATATATGTATTTACTCATTTCTTCCTCTTCTTGAAGAAATTCGCCTTCTCGATGAATGATGTCGTTTTAATCCATTTGTATTAACTAATTGTCTTTGCTCTTTTTCATTAACTTCTCCATTAGTAATTTTTAATCCCTCATTTTTCTGCTTATTACTTGTTAATGACGAAACCCTAGAAAGTGCCATAGCAACAACTACTCGGTCAAAATCTGTCCCTGCAAAATTTCAAATAAAAAATTCATTTTCTATGCCAATTTTCCTTACCTATAGGTGGAAAATCGCCAATAGACCAATCTCCTCTGAATGACCTAAAAAATTATAAAAAATTAATGAAAAATAATTTCTTCAAACTAATTAAAAATTTAATAATTATTTAAAAAAAATACCTGTAAGAACATTGCCTTACAGGAGTATATTGTGTAGATCCGTGTCTTTGTAAAGCAATTTTTTCATCAAATTCATATTCAATTCCATTTTCTCTTCTTCTTTTACACATCCAATTTGCACAAAGAAAATCATAAAATGCACTTCTAATTTCTTCATTACAACTTAAATAAATTAAAAGACGAGAGGCACAACTTAGAACATATAACATTGATATTATCTTTTAAATTTAAAAAAATATTAAATTTATTATCAATTTTTATTTTCTCGAGTAATTATTCTCGATAATTAAATGTATCCTCTAATGAGAGGCTCAATCAAGAATTACCGAAGGTTAATATTCGAGAAAAAAGGGATCATTTATATAATTTAAATTAACTTACATCTGTCAATGTCTCATATATCTAAAATTAAAAATATTAAGAAAAGTTTAAATTAATACAAAATAATTTTTAAATAAAAGAGACTAACACTATAAAAGTTTTCACTTTGTGTTGAATCTAAATCTAAATATTCCCAGGCAGTAATAGCCACATTTGGAAAATTTGCCAATAAATAAGAACAAACAATCAAGAGTAATAAACGAGTTGCTGAACGAACACGAAGCTTTAAAAATTTAAAGAATTATGAGGGAAGGATGACTAATTAAAGATTAAATATTAAAATATAATTTAATTATTTATTTTAATTAATTAATTAAGAAATACACTTTATGGTCATAAGCACTGCCAAATCGAAACATTGCAGCCGAACGTTTTTGACGTCGTAATATTAAAACTAACAAAAAAAATTTATTTTATATATTAATATTCTTATTTGTTAGTTAGGAAGGAGTAAAGGAGTTTTGGCCTATATACATATGAAAAAAATATTTTTAAAAATTTTCTTTCTAAAAATTTTCCTTTCCAATTCCTTTCTCTTAAAATTTAATTTTTAAATTATTAACCAATTCTAGCATTTAAATAAGCAAGTAAAAAGAAAGGCACAAAAACTGTAGCAATAGTTCTGACATAAAATCTAAAAACTGTTCCATAAAACCAGCTTTTAGTTAACGTTGTAAGGCTTGGTTCGAATTCACTTAAACCCGTACAATTTCCATTGGCAACAATTTCAACTTCAAAAATAGCTGTTCCTCTAAGTAATAAAGCTAATAAGAACATTCCTAAAGCTAAAGGACCACGATTGGTACGAAAACAAGTAAGCAAAGATGATTTTAATGTAATTAAAAAACGTTCAATTGTTCCAAGAATAATCACTGAAAAATAAAAAAAATAATTTAATATTTAAAAATTAATTTACTAAAACAAGAAAATGTCATAGAAACATGGCAAAGAGCCAAAAGGGGGCCAACATAACTCCACCAAAGTCGTGTTAGCCAAAGTAATTGTACCCGATTTTTAATTATATCCATAGCTAAAATGTTTATTTATTTTTTATTATTTTCTTAAAAAAATAAATATAAACCAATAACAGGTCCATAACAAGTTGATAAAAAAGCATCAGAAACAGCTAAAAGCCCAAGGAAGAAAAAATGTGAATTTCGAGGGCGTAATAAAACACAGGCAATTAATACATTACAAACAAGAGAAATTAAACTAATTAAATATTTAAAAAGAAAAATTTAAAAATTACCTTAAAGAAGTCCCCGCAACTGCAACCAAATACCTTTTTAAAATTAAAAATAGATATTTTTTTTAATTATTTTTAATTCTCTAACCATCTTCTATCTGGAAAAATATCAACAGAACAATCATCTTCTGAATCATTATCGTTAGTTATATTTTTGTAATCCTCAATTGGTGAAGAAATAAAAGAGGAGAAATGCCCAGATTCTGTTCCGTGCATTTTATTTTTAAATAAAATTTAAATCTAAAAATATTTTTTAAATAAAAATAAAAAACTTTAAAAACAAAATAAAATTTTAAAAAAGTTCAAAAATGATTTCTCTAAGAAAAATTTGATTGAAAGTTTTAATAATTTGTACATATTTATCAAAAACAAAAAAAATTTATTTAAATAAATATTAATTATTTAATAAAAAGAAATTATTTTTTAAATGTAAAAAATATTATAAAAAGTAAAAAAAGTAAATAAATAAATATTTGATTTAATTTAGAAAATCTTACTTTTAAATGAAATAAGTAGAGGTGTGTGTGTGTGTGTGTGATATGGCACAAAATATATACAAATTTAATTAACAAAAATATTTGACAAGGAAAGGAAAAAATAAAAGAAAAATAAAAGAAAAATAAATAAAATAAATAAAATTATTTAAATTTAAAAAGTTTTTAAAAATTTTATTTAAAAAAATAAAATAATTGAAATATAATTTAAATTATTATTAAATATTTCGAAATATTTGATTTTAAATATAAAATACTAATTCGTTCAAATGATTAAAAAACTTTCTTTTTATAAATCTAAAACTAAATTAAATAATTTAAAAATTCTCTAGGGCTTTTTATTTTACAAAAATTTCTTCAATTTCAACTAAAAAGATGATTTGTATATTTAATTTATTTTTTAAACAAAAATAGTTTGAAGAAAAGAATGTTGCCAAATAAAAATAAATTTCTTTTAATTTAAAACTTTAAAAAATAAATATAAATTTTGTTTGTTTAAAATAAATAAATATTTCTTTTTATGGAAAATTGTGCTGCTCATTTATTAAAATACCAAGAATAAATGTTTAATTAAAAATAGAAAAGTTTAAAGAAAATTATTTAAATATTTAACTAATTAATTACGTAATTAAAATATTTTTTAAAGACAATTCTGAAATGATCCAAAAATTAATTTAAAAAATATTATTTTAAATTAATAGCTATTAATTTGTTTATATTTTTTAATTAACATTTTTTCAATAAATAAAAGAAAATATTCGCGAATATTAAATTACAAAAAAATTCTTCCAACAAACTTCAAAAAAATTAGATATTATAATTTTTATAATAAGAAAATATTTGTCATATTTATTTTTGTGTTTTTCTTGGATGAAAATTATTAATAAATTAAATATTCTTTACATCATTGCTTTATCCAAAAATAAAAAAAATATTTTTTCTTTGTCTCTATTATTTATTTTTTATTTAATAAATAATCAAGAATCAGAAATATTTTGCAAAAAATGTTTTAAATATAAAAAATTCTGATTAGGATTTTTGTTATATTAAATACAAATCAGGGTTGCCGCGGGTACAAAAAATCTTCAGGTACGGGTTTCGGGTATCGGGTTGGAGCGTTTTCATTTCGGGTATCGGGTTTCGGGTTGGCAAAAATTTCGGGTACGGGTTTCGGGTTTGGCGAAAAATTCCGGTTATTTTCAGGTGTTCGGGTATTGTTGAACTAAATTGTAAGGAGACAAGCTATGTTGCATAATAGGATTTTGGGTGATAGAGAGAGGCAAATTTGAAGAGACTAGGGACATTGTGGGATTTGGGGATTAAGAGGGATATCTTGGTAAAATCCCATTATATACTAATATCCACCGCTTTATCTCCATTAAAGCCTCCAATTTTCTCCCGTTTTCAGCGCCGCAGGCGAAAATTTTGAGAATTTTGGAAGACCAAGAGGCTAAATTTCTTCCATTTTTTGCGCCGCAGGCAAAAATTTTGATAATTTTGCTGATCCTTAAGCCAGATTTCTTGCTTTTTCACCGCCGGAGGCGAAAATTTTGAGAATTTTGTAATGCTTTAGGAGAAAAATTCAATTGTCAGAACCGCAGGCAAAAAATTTTATTGAAGTTTAGTTGGTCATGAAGCCAGAACTCTTAATTTTATCCGCCGCAGGCGAAAATTTTGCAAAATTCATGACTAAATTAAAATTTTTAATGCTTTTTCAAGCTTAAAATATTAAAAAAAAATAAATCTGAAAATTTAAAATTAAAATCAAAGTTTAAAAACATTTATTTTTGAAAACAAGAATTTTTTAACCTCATTTCCCTTCCTGAACTCGAACTCAGCCTTATGAAAATATCGAGCCACCCATTCAACCACCGATCAACATAATAAAAATTAAAGAAATTATGAATATTTCTTTTTCTTTTCCTTTCTTTCTCTTTCTATAATTTTTTAAATTTGCCTATTTAAATAAATCGGGTAAGGCTAATTTTTCGGGTAGGAATTTCGGGTTTTAACCAATTTCGGGTCACGGGTTTCGGGTTGGAAAAAATATCGGGTACGGGTTTCGGGTTGGAAAATTTTCATTTCGGGTAACGGGTTTCGTGTACAAAAATAGGCCGGGTTTCGGGTATCGGGTTTCGGGTTTCGGGCGGCAACCCTGGTACATACTATGTATGTAGATATTATCGGAAAAAAGACAATTTTTTACAATTTTTTAAAGGTTGCCAATAATTAATTCAAGTTGTGGGGACAGACCAGCTTCTTTATTACTTAACTTTATTGGACTTGAATTTTCAAGTTTTGATACTTTATATCAACAATTAGGCTTTGATTCTCCTTTACCAATTTCTTGTAGATCTTTAATTAAATATTCATTAAATAATTTAAACAAAAAAGATGAATTATTTAATAAAAATAAATTAATTTTAAAAACATCTTCAGAAAAATCTTCAAAATTTTTAATTAATTCTGGAATTTGTTGCTTTAAAATTAAATGAGGGGGGGGGTTTGATTTGAGGGGGTTTTCTCTTCTAAAAGCAGCTAAAAATTAAGAAAACAAGGTTACAATATTCTCATTTAAAAAATACTTTTAAAAAAATTCTCGCTTAAAGGTAAAAACAAGAAAATTAATAAAATATTTAGAAAATTTTAATTAAATATTTAAATAAAATCTAAAAAATTTTTATGGAAAGACATTTGGATAGAAAAATTAATAAAAATCTGACACAATTCTTTAGAATTTTTGCGTGCCGTATCGCACCTGGAATAAAATAAAGGGGGGGGAGTATAGGTATATTTATTAAATAATGTTCATTCTTCGTATCAAACACAAAAATATACACACTCGAATGCGCGCGTGTGAAAAATTTTTGTCCCAAAAGGTTTACCTTTACGGTTTGTCTTATAATAAGAAAAGGTTGGTGTGCGGAAAATGTAGTGCACAATTCCTCGTTAGTTCTGTAGAGGAGGGACAGGAATAACTCGGGCTCCCACGCGAGTATTCCTTATATGAAAGGGTCGACGGAGATATTTAATCTCCAGAAACAAATCCACCAAACACAAACAATTAAAATATTTATTTAATATAAATAATATAAATAAGGGTGATTAATAGAGAGAGAAAATAGATAGGTGATCAAGTGGGTTGGTGATCAAATGGAATGGTCGGGGATGACTGCCAACTAGTCAGACCCGACTGAAGAGAAAAGACTATTTGTGCGCGAGCGGGCACAAATAGATCAAAGAGAAGATTGCTTGGCCAAAAGTGGGCAAGCAAGGCTTCTAGCCAGCCGAAGAGAGAAGAGAAGAAACTTGGCCGATATGGGCAAGTTAGAGAAGAGAAGAGGAGCTGGTAAGCTATGCTTAGCAGGTCCTATGAAATTAAACTGTTAGTTCATAAACTGACTTTTCTCATAAAAGTCAAATGGTTATATAGGGAAAGAAGTTTGGCGGTACAAAGCTAAAAAGTGTGAAAATGATGATAAATGAACAAAGTGGGCGGGTAGGCAATCAATATGGAAAATAAATAAAATTAAATAAAATTAATTAAAATAATAATTTTGAGGCAAAATTGTGCCTTTCGGCACAGTTGGAATGAAATAAAAAGAAAATGTCGGGGCTATGAAAAATTAATATGTTTGAATCCAAATTTTGAAAAATTAAAAAAAAAAGAATAAAAAATCACGCTATTTTAATTGAAACTTATTTTTAAATTAAAATAGTTTTTGTTACAATAACCAAATTGTGTACATATATTAGATTAAATGGCTCGACCACTTGGACCAATTCTGAATAGCAGTGTTTAGAGTAAATACCAAAATTCGTATTAGTAACTACATATGAGTACAAGGCGAAAAAATAAGGAAAATAAAACCATTCATCTTAGTCGCTCGTTTTAATTCTTTATTTGATTTAAAAGTTTGAAAAACTAAAGCATTAGTGAACAACTACCTTTTCTGAACGCACCTGAAAATAACCGGAATTTTTCGCCAAACCCGAAACCCGTACCCGAAATTTTTGCCAACCCGAAACCCGATACCCGAAATGAAAACGCTCCAACCCGATACCCGAAACCCGTACCTGAAGATTTTTTGTACCCGCGGCAACCCTGATTTGTATTTAATATAACAAAAATCCTAATCAGAATTTTTTATATTTAAAACATTTTTTGCAAAATATTTCTGATTCTTGATTATTTATTAAATAAAAAATAAATAATAGAGACAAAGAAAAAATATTTTTTTTATTTTTGGATAAAGCAATGATGTAAAGAATATTTAATTTATTAATAATTTTCATCCAAGAAAAACACAAAAATAAATATGACAAATATTTTCTTATTATAAAAATTATAATATCTAATTTTTTTGAAGTTTGTTGGAAGAATTTTTTTGTAATTTAATATTCGCGAATATTTTCTTTTATTTATTGAAAAAATGTTAATTAAAAAATATAAACAAATTAATAGCTATTAATTTAAAATAATATTTTTTAAATTAATTTTTGGATCATTTCAGAATTGTCTTTAAAAAATATTTTAATTACGTAATTAATTAGTTAAATATTTAAATAATTTTCTTTAAACTTTTCTATTTTTAATTAAACATTTATTCTTGGTATTTTAATAAATGAGCAGCACAATTTTCCATAAAAAGAAATATTTATTTATTTTAAACAAACAAAATTTATATTTATTTTTTAAAGTTTTAAATTAAAAGAAATTTATTTTTATTTGGCAACATTCTTTTCTTCAAACTATTTTTGTTTAAAAAATAAATTAAATATACAAATCATCTTTTTAGTTGAAATTGAAGAAATTTTTGTAAAATAAAAAGCCCTAGAGAATTTTTAAATTATTTAATTTAGTTTTAGATTTATAAAAAGAAAGTTTTTTAATCATTTGAACGAATTAGTATTTTATATTTAAAATCAAATATTTCGAAATATTTAATAATAATTTAAATTATATTTCAATTATTTTATTTTTTTAAATAAAATTTTTAAAAACTTTTTAAATTTAAATAATTTTATTTATTTTATTTATTTTTCTTTTATTTTTCTTTTATTTTTTCCTTTCCTTGTCAAATATTTTTGTTAATTAAATTTGTATATATTTTGTGCCATATCACACACACACACACACACACCTCTACTTATTTCATTTAAAAGTAAGATTTTCTAAATTAAATCAAATATTTATTTATTTACTTTTTTTACTTTTTATAATATTTTTTACATTTAAAAAATAATTTCTTTTTATTAAATAATTAATATTTATTTAAATAAATTTTTTTTGTTTTTGATAAATATGTACAAATTATTAAAACTTTCAATCAAATTTTTCTTAGAGAAATCATTTTTGAACTTTTTTAAAATTTTATTTTGTTTTTAAAGTTTTTTATTTTTATTTAAAAAATATTTTTAGATTTAAATTTTATTTAAAAATAAAATGCACGGAACAGAATCTGGGCATTTCTCCTCTTTTATTTCTTCACCAATTGAGGATTACAAAAATATAACTAACGATAATGATTCAGAAGATGATTGTTCTGTTGATATTTTTCCAGATAGAAGATGGTTAGAGAATTAAAAATAATTAAAAAAAATATCTATTTTTAATTTTAAAAAGGTATTTGGTTGCAGTTGCGGGGACTTCTTTAAGGTAATTTTTAAATTTTTCTTTTTAAATATTTAATTAGTTTAATTTCTCTTGTTTGTAATGTATTAATTGCCTGTGTTTTATTACGCCCTCGAAATTCACATTTTTTCTTCCTTGGGCTTTTAGCTGTTTCTGATGCTTTTTTATCAACTTGTTATGGACCTGTTATTGGTTTATATTTATTTTTTTAAGAAAATAATAAAAAATAAATAAACATTTTAGCTATGGATATAATTAAAAATCGGGTACAATTACTTTGGCTAACACGACTTTGGTGGAGTTATGTTGGCCCCCTTTTGGCTCTTTGCCATGTTTCTATGACATTTTCTTGTTTTAGTAAATTAATTTTTAAATATTAAATTATTTTTTTTATTTTTCAGTGATTATTCTTGGAACAATTGAACGTTTTTTAATTACATTAAAATCATCTTTGCTTACTTGTTTTCGTACCAATCGTGGTCCTTTAGCTTTAGGAATGTTCTTATTAGCTTTATTACTTAGAGGAACAGCTATTTTTGAAGTTGAAATTGTTGCCAATGGAAATTGTACGGGTTTAAGTGAATTCGAACCAAGCCTTACAACGTTAACTAAAAGCTGGTTTTATGGAACAGTTTTTAGATTTTATGTCAGAACTATTGCTACAGTTTTTGTGCCTTTCTTTTTACTTGCTTATTTAAATGCTAGAATTGGTTAATAATTTAAAAATTAAATTTTAAGAGAAAGGAATTGGAAAGGAAAATTTTTAGAAAGAAAATTTTTAAAAATATTTTTTTCATATGTATATAGGCCAAAACTCCTTTACTCCTTCCTAACTAACAAATAAGAATATTAATATATAAAATAAATTTTTTTTGTTAGTTTTAATATTACGACGTCAAAAACGTTCGGCTGCAATGTTTCGATTTGGCAGTGCTTATGACCATAAAGTGTATTTCTTAATTAATTAATTAAAATAAATAATTAAATTATATTTTAATATTTAATCTTTAATTAGTCATCCTTCCCTCATAATTCTTTAAATTTTTAAAGCTTCGTGTTCGTTCAGCAACTCGTTTATTACTCTTGATTGTTTGTTCTTATTTATTGGCAAATTTTCCAAATGTGGCTATTACTGCCTGGGAATATTTAGATTTAGATTCAACACAAAGTGAAAACTTTTATAGTGTTAGTCTCTTTTATTTAAAAATTATTTTGTATTAATTTAAACTTTTCTTAATATTTTTAATTTTAGATATATGAGACATTGACAGATGTAAGTTAATTTAAATTATATAAATGATCCCTTTTTTCTCGAATATTAACCTTCGGTAATTCTTGATTGAGCCTCTCATTAGAGGATACATTTAATTATCGAGAATAATTACTCGAGAAAATAAAAATTGATAATAAATTTAATATTTTTTTAAATTTAAAAGATAATATCAATGTTATATGTTCTAAGTTGTGCCTCTCGTCTTTTAATTTATTTAAGTTGTAATGAAGAAATTAGAAGTGCATTTTATGATTTTCTTTGTGCAAATTGGATGTGTAAAAGAAGAAGAGAAAATGGAATTGAATATGAATTTGATGAAAAAATTGCTTTACAAAGACACGGATCTACACAATATACTCCTGTAAGGCAATGTTCTTACAGGTATTTAATTAAAATAATTACCAAATTTTTAATTAGTTGAAGAAATTATTTTTCATTAATTTTTTATAATTTTTTAGGTCATTCAGAGGAGATTGGTCTATTGGCGATTTTCCACCTATAGGTAAGGAAAATTGGCATAGAAAATGAATTTTTTATTTGAAATTTTGCAGGGACAGATTTTGACCGAGTAGTTGTTGCTATGGCACTTTCTAGAGTTTCGTCATTAACAAGTAATAAACAAAAAAATGAGGGATTAAAAATTACTAATGGAGAAGTTAATGAAAAAGAGCAAAGACAATTAGTTAATACAAATGGATTAAAACGACATCATTCATCGAGAAGGCGAATTTCTTCAAGAAGAGGAAGAAATGAGTAAATACTACCAGACTCTCTGGGGCTTTTATAAGAATTGATTCTGAGGTTAAAATGTCAGTTCTGGAAATATCTGGCAAAATTAATATTTTCCTAAAAAATCTGACTTAAATGTCAAAATTAAATCTACATAGTGGTCACTTGATAATTCGAATTTTTTAAAAGTTTTTTTATTTCAGAAGAGAGTTTTATCCTTCAAAAATTTCGATGATGAGGAAGAAGATGAAAAACCAGTTGTTATAGTAAAGAAACGGTTAGGAATGGACCCGACTGTTGATACTTCATTTTTGCCTGACAGAGAACGTGATGAACAAATTCAAAGGTTTTAATATTTTAAAAGAATTTTATTAAATTTTCTTAGAGAACGTGAAAGAATTGGAGCCGAATGGCTAGAAATGCAAGAAAAGGAGAAAAACGAAGAAATTATGGTTGCATTTTGTTATTGGGATGGGTCTTCACATCGTAGGGATTTTAAAACAAAGAAGGGAACGACAATTGCACAATTTTTACAAAAAGCTTTGGATGTTTAAAATTAAAATTTAATTAAAAAAATTATTTTCCTTTTTTAGTTATTTCGGAAAGAATTTTTGGAATTGAAATTGGCAACTGTAGAGAATTTGGTAAAAAAATAAAAATAATTTTTTAAATATTTTTTTTATACAGATGTTCATTAAAGAAGATTTAATTATTCCTCATTTCTATACGTAAATAAATTTTTTTTTAATTTTTTTTAAATTTAATTTAGATTTCAAGATTTTATTAAAACTCGGCAAATGGGAAAAACTGGTCCTTTGTGGCAATTTGAATCTGTTGGTGAAATACGAGTTAGACAAGATGCTGCTCTTGATGTTGGAGAAAGCCATCCAGTTAAGGTAATTTTTTTAATTAGAAGAAATTTTTGAATAAAAATTTTAGGTTGTTCTACGTTCGTGGTACGAAAAAAATAAACATATTTACCCGGCATCTCGTTGGGAGCCTTTTGTGCCAGGAAAAGTTTATAAAAGAACAATCGATGATTTAAATACAATTTAATTATATTTACATATTTTTATCAATTTATTCTATACATATTTATAAAATTGTTTTTAAGGGAATTTTTTGTTTTAATTTTTGATAATAAAATTATCTTTATAATTAATTGTTTTTTACATGTTCTGCACATGATATTTTATTTTGAAAAATGACATTTAATCCAAATTTGTTTTTATTTTGTTATCCACGTTTATAAATAAATTGTTTTTACAAATTTTATTTTTCGTTTAACTTATTTTAGAGAATGAAAATTATCTGTAATTTATATTAAAATTTAATTTTTTTAGTAATTTATAAATGATGGCCAATTCATTTTTAAATTTAATTAATTTATTTTTTATTTTTTCGACATTTTTTTAATCGGCAGAAGTTAATTTTTAAATAATTTTAAATAAAAATTTATATTTAGGCGAATTTTGAAGACACTCGTTGTCGATGTACATGTCCAAGTACTGAATATTTTGCTCCAAAAGGCACAAATCACTCACAACATTATAGACGTTATTATACAAAAACTAATTTGGAGTCGTCAAATTGGTTATTTTTTAATTTAAAAAATTAATAAAATTTTTATTTTTTTTAAAGCAATGCACAAACTGTCGTTAAAAAAGATGTTCAATCAATTGTGGAGGGGACAAGACTTGACGCTTTCTTGGCAAATTGTAATTGTCGATTTGAATCGAGAAATTCACTTTTATTGAAGGTTTAATTTTTGTAATTTTTTTGGAGGAAATTTTTTTGATTATTAAGAGAAAATTTTGATTGGAGATTTTTAATAAATTATTTTTAAGGTTGTTGTTATGTTCGTCATTGCCGTTATTTTTATTCTTGGCTCTTACATGCTCTATTTGGGTGTTGTTGAGCCAATGGTTTTTAGACAAAGGCAACCAAATTCAACAGCTTTTATACCTTACAGTCGCCATACAGATGTTGATAGAGAGGACGTTGGTGATTTGAACACATTTTGGTTCCTTCAAGATTCGGATGAAGCCTCGGTGGTTGCATCCGATGTCATGGATGATCAATCCATTATTGTTAGGCACTTTCCGTTTCTTGTCTCTCTTTCTTTCCTTTTTTTTATGGACCTAAATTTATTTTTGTAATTTTTAGTCTAAAAATATTTTTTAAAAATAAGGAAGAGCTCTCTCTTTACATATTATTCCCTAAATAAGTTTTTGAATTAAAAATTCATTTGGATTTTCCCTAACCTTTTTAATTTTTAAGGATGACCATATATTTTCGAGTACAACAGAAGGAATACCATCATCAAATGAATTCTCAGCTATTTCTTTAGAAGATCGACAACAAACGCGTTCTCGCCATTCAACTAATGCTACAACTGCTAATAGTACAGTTAAAGCTTCATTGCATGACAAAGTTATTGAAAAGGTTTTTAATTTAAATATATTAAGGAATTTCTGAGTATTTTTATAATTTAAGTGAGGAATTGTTTCGTTTTGGATAGTTTCTTAAATGATTTTCTTTAACACAAAAAAATTATTTTCTTTAAAATTATTTTAAAATATTCAGGTAACAGCTGAGCAAAATAAGTGGAAAGTGGATGTAGAGGAACAACGTCGTAATGTATTAGGTGAACATAGTGTGTTAAATTAAATATTTATGTATTAAATTTAATTATAAAAACTTATAAAAGAAAAATTTGTATATTAATTATTTAAATAAATTTATATTTTAAAAGGTTTAGTTTTTGGGAAGAAAGGGGGAATTTCGAAAAGTAAGCACAGATTCTAATTTAAATAAAATATTTTCTCTCTAATAATACAAACCCCACAAATTATAAATCCTATTAAAGTTCTTGCTTTTCACAGTAAGATTATTTTTAGAAAAATTATGTAAACTTGGGGTACGAATTTCTGATTTCAAAATAAGACTAGATCAACAATAAAACTACTATTTATTTTTACAATATACCAAACAAATAGGTATATTAATTATACAACAATATACACCAACATTAATACAGAGAAATTATACATAACAAAGAAGATTACAAATATCTATTACATACCTCCCAATTATTCTTATGATTTATCGCCTTCCCCTTTTGCTTCTTTTTGATCACTTCCTCTTTGATTTCGAATGTCGCTTTCGTTTATGCTTCTTGCGACGACTCTTTTCCTTCTTCCTTGGCACAGTTAGAATCCCACCGTCATCTTCTTGAGTTCGTTCTGTAGTAGTTCCAATACTCGAATCAGAGCTATTGGTACTACTTGTTGTTGTACTTGTTGCTGTATCTTTCCTCTTAGAAAGTCCAATCGGATGAAGAACGACAGCATTCGGCGATGCAGTTGAGGGATCCTGGAATTTTTAATTAATGAACATCAAAATTTTTCTGTCTACCTTTGCCAGTCCTATTGTGGGAGCCCATCCAACATTAGGAGGTGGATGCGAATCGGTAGATGTCCCTTTTGCCGGAGTGTTCAAAATTGGTAATCGAGGCAGCGAAGGTTCTTTAACTGGAACATTAGATGATGGTGGAGGAGGAAGCACAACAACTGGTAAAGGCGGTGGTGGTACATATCTAAAATAAATGAAGATAACAAATTGTTATTTGAGTAGATCACAAACGCAGGAGGCGGCGATGGTGCCGAAGGCAAAATTTGCGGAGGTGGATACATTGGCGGAGGAACAGGCTGTTGTCGCTGAATTGGTGGCGGACCAACAGGCATCTAAAAAGAACCTGTGTTTTGAAACAAAGAATACATTTACCGGTGGATGTGCTACAATCGGTGGCGGCCTTTGTAATCGCGGCGGCGGACCAGCAAACATATGTCTTGGAGGGCCACTATGCATAGGTCTTGGTGGTGGCGGTCCTGTGCGAACGACATGGCCCTTTCTTTTATTTGAACCCTTGCTTATAGCGCAGAAGATAATGACGAGTACAGAAACAAGAATGCCAGCAGAAATACTTAGAAAAATCCACGCATCTACTTGACTCATCTTTAAAAGTGATTCGGAAAGTATAATTTATAAAAAAACTTAAATCGACTTACCACTGCCGAAGACGAAGACTACCGAACGCAGTACGTGAAAGCTATGTTTATATTGTAACTTTCTAAATCTGATAGACTTTTATAGCAATTTAATTACTTAAAAACTTTGTATAACTTTTTTGTTTGTAATTTTTAAGATTTTAATTGATAGGTAATCTTCCTCTTATATTTAAATGTCAACTTACTCTTATTCTTTTAATTTGTTTTTTCCACTTTTTTTTGTTTCCTCATTTTTCCGAATTTTCTCTTTGCCAAAAATAAAAGTAATTGAGCCTGCTAAAAATATGCAAAATTCTATGAAGAATAAAAGGTAAAATTGTTTTTGCTTTAGAAAACGGGCCAACCGGTTATTTTTGTTTTTAGTAGTTAAATATTCTTTTACTTTTTTCTCATTTTTACCGCTTTTTACAAATTGTTTTACTGTAATTGGAGTAAATTTTTGAGGAAACAAAAATGAGAATTATTGCTTTATTTAAACTTTTCCATAAACTCTTGAAATTATTTTAAGCTAAAAATGAGTTTTTTTTAGCTGCTAGGTTTTATTTAATAATTATAAAATATTAAATAAAAAAATATTTACTAGAAATTATCTGAGCCTTTTATAAAATGCGTTCTAATGGTCTATTAAATTCTTCCCCATCATCATTAATTTTATACAAAAACCCTACTAATATTTCAAACAATTTACCATTAAAAACAAAATCTGGAAGGGGACACGTTGCAAGTTGGATATTTTTTTAATTTTTAATTAAAGGAACCATCATTTTCATGTTCGCCTTCTTCCTCTTCTGCTGCTTTGATTGCCGCTCATGGAAGTTTTGCAGCGGCTGCAGCATTTGCTTCTTTGCCATGGCTTGCACAACATCAACAACAAATTTTGTCTGAAAATAGGTAGTAAATTAATTAAAATAAAAATTTAGTAAAATAATTTTTGATTTTTAAAATTAAATTTTAACAAAAATTTTGACCTTTATTTTACATCAATTAAATATATTTTCATTCATTTTCCATATGCTATTTTTTTTAATTTAAAAAATATTTTTATTTCCTTTTCCCATTAATTCCAAATAATTTTTCTCTATTCATATCCTTCCAATTCTTTTCCGCTCATTTCGTTTTAGGCAGGTGTGTGCCAATTCATTCTCTAAAATCAAGGTAGATTGCCGGCTCTGATAATTGGCACCAATGTGCGGGGGAGGGGGGGAGTAGGTACTTTTCTTTCTCTTTCCTTTTTTTTGCCAATTTCCGTTCAATTCTTCGATTTTTTCATTCATTTTAATTGATGATGGGTAAATTATTAATTTTACTTATTGGGGAACCTTGTGTTGAATTTATTTCATTAGAAAAATTTCTTCAATTAAAAAAATATTGGAAATTATTTAATTGAAAACGATACATATAGTAAATATATTAATTATTGAAAATGTATCTGGAATTTATTATTTTTTAAAATAAGTTTTGACGTTTTAATTTTTTAATTTAAAATTATTTAAAACTTTTCAATTTTTAATTAAATATTAAATTATTTAATTTAAAATAAATTAAACAAAAATTCATCCTTGTTGCCAATGGATCCTTTATTTTTAAAAAGCTTTTGCCATGGATTTCCATTTGGATTCTAAGGTAACGACTAAATGGATCTTTGTAAAATTGGATCCAGGGCAACGGATAAATTTATTTCGAGAAGGGGAGTTGTAGAACCTTGGTGATATATGTATATCTTCCGTTGCCGTGCCGATATTTAATAAATAAATGTGTGGATGTTACTAAGAGACTAACTGATATATTTTTGATGTCCAGGGAAACGAAAAATAAATGGGAGGAGATCGAGATGAATATATCTTTCTCATTTAAACATTTATTTCATCCTTAGATTTACATTTTATAAAAATTCCTTTTATTTAAAACAAAACATTTATTTTCCTTAATTAATTGTTCAGTCTTTCAAATTCCCTCCTTCATTCATAATTTGATGAAATTTATATCAGAGAGGATAACAAAATTTAAACTTTTATGTATTTTTGTGTTTTTATGATGATGAGGAGGATGTTGTTGCCAGGAGAACAAGGAGGGGCTAAAAAATTCAGAATTGGTTGGTCACCAGGGGTGACCAACCAGAATTGGTTGGTCACCATGGTTTTTGGTTCAAGGTGTCGTCAACAACAACGGCTACTTGTATATATAAACACTTAACATTTTTAAATTCACAATTTTATTCATTCACTTTGGTTACCAGACTGAATTCATTCATGTCCAATATAGTTTCTATATTATTTGAATATTTATTTAGAAATTTTATTTTTATTATTATTTTCCTAAAAAATTTAAAAAATGTTTAATTATTTTAATAACTTAATTTTACATTTAGTTAAAGAGTTTGGTAATTCTAATTATTTTTCAGTTTCTAATTTGATTATATTTTTATTATTAACTAATTATGCTTAATAATTGCTGCTGATTTTAATTAAATTTTTATTTAAATACGTAATTTTTTTGTCATTATTTGTTGTATATACGTCTGTGCGCCATTGCCATACCAATCAAAAGATATATAAATGTTTTATAATAATATTAAAACAACACATTAATTGCCATATTCTTTGGCAGCTCCAGTTATGGGGGCAAATTTTCTAAACAGTTTGGAAATTTAGATTTTGATTGTCGTGCCTGGTTGTTTGAATTATTTAATTCAGAAGGAACCTTGTTCAACAAAAAATTTAAAAGTAGGCAGGTAGAAGTACGAGTATTAGGCCAAAAAATGGGGCTATATGAAGTACAAGTGGAGAAAACTAGAATCCCAACTCTATCCAGAAAATAAATTTTCATTAAAAATAACCTCTAATTCTTTTTCATAATTTATCCAATTCCTTCCCCTAATTCCACAAAATAGAGCAATTATATATTTGTGTGCATGTGTTATAGCCGTTGGCCTTTTTTCTCTTTTTGTTGCCGCCTCGTTATTATCCCTTTAAATGCTTGTTATCGTTCTTATGTGCCAGGTGGAGATTGTGGTAGTTATTGGGAAAGAAGGTCCTTATCCGGTCTTGTCCACCTTTTCTTTCCTCATTGACCATTAGAAAGGATAAAGGGCGGGGCCAAAGACCGTTATTTGCCGGTTGGTCTTTCTGGTTTAAATTAGGTCTTCACTATATTTTCACACAAATTGTTTATTTAAAACGATTTTCCCTTCTACCTTACAAGCTTTTTTGATTACAATATTATTCCTAATTTCATTCCAAAATTACTTTTAATATTTCACATTTACTTTAATTTTCTCTTTCTCCCTTCATTTAATGTGAGAATTCATTCCCTTCCTTATCTGACCATCAAAAATCTATTCAATTATCCACTCTCAATCATTTGCCAAGAAACCCCTCCCTCTTTAATATGTCCATCTAAATTCAAAACACCTCATTTTCGTACCATTCGCTAAGAAGGGCACCTGGAAAATTATTATATTTTTATATAATGATGGGAGAAAGGCTACAAATCTGGCACCTTCTAAACACAAAATAAATATAAATAACACTCCTCTTTTACTCTATTTTTAGAAGAAAAATTTGTTGAAAGTAAATATATAAACAAATATATTTATCAAAAATTAATAAAATTTTAGTATTCTTACACGATCAAAAATTTTAAATAATTTTAAATTTCTCAAGTTTTATAAATCTCTTAAATCTTTAACTTTCCCAAAAATGTTCTTCTCCTCTTCCTCAACCACTAAAAATACGTCAGAGTGTGAGAGGTCTTCCCCCTCTCTTTTATTGTTGGGAGATAATCATAACATTCCTAATTCTATTCAACATAATCAACAAAACAATAACGAATTTGGATTATTCAATTCTGCTTTGCCTTCTCCACAAAATAATTTAATTATTGAAGATTTGGGAAATACTAGAACAGCAAATAATTCTTTTGGTGATTGAAAAAAATATTGAAAATTACAAAAATTTTCTTGCCTTATTTTCTCTAATTAAAATGGCAAATATGGCACTTATTAATTAATAATTTTTATTTCTTTAAGTTTACCAATCAATTATTAGCTAATTATTATTAGCTAAATAACAGTTTAGGATAAAATAAAAAATATAATTTTTAGTAAATATTCAGAAAAAATTAAAAGAAAATTTCATATCTGCCATTCGATTAGAGTAAATTTGGTAAATCTTAAAAATTATAAAAAAAAGAAAATAATTATCAGCTGAAAACAATTATCATCATCATCATAATCAACAACATAAAAGGTGCTATCTCTCACAACATCATCAACAACAAACCCAACAAATTTTTGGATCAACAATTAATTCTTCTACAAATATTCCACCCCCAAATAATTCCCTTCCCTCTACTTCTCCCCCAAATTCTTCTTCATTAGAAAATGATCCACCCTTAATGGGTGTCTCTAGTAGAACAAATACACCCAGCACTGTAGTTTTTGATGAATGTAATTGTTCGGCTTGTTGTTGGGGGACACCTCTCCCTCCTTTAATTTTACAAGAAAATAATTGTGGGGGGAATCTTTTGATCGGTAATAATATTTTGAATGGCAATGGCGCGCATGGTGTTAACGATAATGGCATAAATACACATTCACCTTCATTTTCTAGTTTATTATTGCTTAGTCCAGGAAATGGAAATAATTCTAGGCAAATTTAAAAAAACCTTTTTTTGTTAATTTTTAAAAGTATTTTTATAGACTTTCAAATGTTAATGGAACCGGGAATTATTTTGGACAAATACATACAACTAATGCAGGAAATGTTGGTAGTATTTATGGAAACAATACTGGAATACATTCTGGATATTATCCGGTATGGTTATTATTTAAATAATAATTATACTAAATAGTCTATCCTTTAACATCTAAAAATCACCTACAAAACACATTTTTCTCTTCATAATATTTTAAAGTAAACTTTACTTCAAATTCAAAATTTTTTCGATCTAAAAATATTTTCAATCAAAAATTTATCCTTAACATAATTTTATTAATTTTAAAATTTTATAAATTATACATATTTTCTCTTGGTTCTTTCTTCCACCGACTGGCTCCTACCGTTTCCTTGCCAACACTCCTTTTACTCTCAAATTGTGCGCGATAATGAGAAAAATATCCCTACAATTTTGGCAGTTTTGTATTTAATATTTATTATTTACCGCTATGTAGCTAGATAATTAGAGGGGAAAAATGGAAAATAGACGTTAAATGTTAGCATGTAAAACGACTTGCGTGCCGTCATAACAGATGCTTAACATAAGCATAAGGTATATCTCATGTTGGATTAATAATCCTCTGAGAGAGGTAGAGATTTAATATACTAGAAAAGAGATTTAATGATGTGGGGGAAAAAGGAAGAGATTGAGAAGTGAAGGAAATTAAAAAATAGATAGTAGATATATTAGAGATAGTAGATATTAGAATAACAAAAATATGGTTATAATAAATGATATATAAAATTGTTATATTTTAACTAAATGTTAAAGCTATGAAAGTAAGGCTAGAGTAAATTGCTTGTTTGTAATAAATATTTCTACTCGGCGCGCAATGAAACAAAAAAGTGAGAAAATTAATAAGACAAGCACAGTAAGATTTTTGATTAGATTCTTTTTATTGGCTTCTTCTCAAATACTAAATAATTTTTAAAAGAAAGCCAGCTGCATTTTTTAGCTATCTGTAATTTATATTTACCTCAACCTACATATTTCGTAAGAAATTAAATAAAAAAAGAATTTACAAACAAACAAAAAGAAGATAAATAAAAAATAAGTTCATCAATCAGAAGATATATGTAACATAGTATTTCGAAGTATCAGAGAAATATCAGAGAATATTTATTCTAACTTCATCTAATAATCTACATATTTTTTCTCAATGGAATTACCACCATTCCTCGCTCCGTGTCCTTCATCATTTATTTCCCCTTCTTCCTCATCTTCTTCATCTACATCTTCTAATTCTTCATCTTCTCCATCATTTGGAGGTATTCTTCCACCCGTTAATTTGTTAGGGAATTCACGTCCCCAACCAATTAACAATAATTTAACTTCAACTAACAATAACCAACAACAATGTTCTACTAATCTTTCCATACATTCATCTTCTCAACTTTCGTCATCCTCTTCTTCTTGTTCACATCAACATCATCATCCTTCTTCATGTTGGACTTTATATAGTCAAGAAACAGATAACAACAACAACAATACTAACGGCGGATTTCAACCTCCTCCCCCTCCTCCACACCAACATGGAAATGGAGGGACATATTCACGTGTTTCTTGTATGATTGATCCTTCTGGACGTCAACAACATCCTTCTTCCTCATCTATTTCATCTACACCCTCTCCTGGAACTTCTTCATCAACTGCTATTGTAAACAGACCGTGTGGACGTATTATTGGAGAGGAGGGGGTTACGACTGCAAAACTTGATTTAAGTAGAAGTTATGTAATTGGAACAATGGGTGGTCAACAACAACAGCAACAGGTATTCAAAGAATTAATAAATTAATTTTAAATAAAATTGAAGGCAACATTAGCAGCAGTATCCTCTTCAACTCCAATAACATTTCATATTTTAACGGCAAATTCTCTATTACAACAACAACAAAATAATCCTGAACATCATCATCATCAATTACAACAACAAGAGCAACAACAACAACAAATTAATTATTTTTCAACAGGAAGACGCCAAATTCAACAGCAACAAATATTACAACAACAACAACAATTAATTGAAGCATCTGTGAGGAATTTATAAGGGAATGAATTGGGATGGGTAGGAGAAGGAGGGGAAGAATTTTTTGATCATATAAGGGTTTTTGAAAAAAATATTTTGATAAGTTAACAGTTAGAAAGGTCTTTAATAAATAAAAGTCAGGAAATTATTATTGGCAACAAAATGTATGCAGAAACTTTCAGAATACCGAGGAGAAAATAGCCACTACTAAATTATGTCCTAAAAATTCCTTAGAGAGTTTCAATTCAAAGTTTAAGCTTATTACTTGACAACGAGGTCGAGGGGGTTTAGCTATTTTAGACTTTAATTGAAATTAAACTTTATGTTTAAACGATTTTTTATTTTATAAAATTAAAATATTTTTTATTTTGTGTGTGGACTATTTATTAAATATTTTTTATGGTCGGTTGAACCTTATAAACGTTTTCTTCATTTTATAATAACAAAATATTTATTCTTATTTTTACCTAAATATTTTCTTCCAAAAAAATAAGGAGGAAGCCTTCCATTTATGTACTTACTACCTGCTGCGAAGAAAAATATTCAAAAAAGTTTGTATAAAGTTTACCAACTTTTGGCCAATTTTTCTTTTCTTATTTTTCTTTTTAAAATTCTCGAAAAAAATCAAAATTTCTTTACAGCATTATCACCAACATACTTCACAACATCCATTAAATCCCCAACAACAACCTCCCACAAGTACTTTATTACAATCTCCACATACATTTGTTCTTCGAAGATCTGGATTAAATAATCAAAGAAAATCTCCAAATATTTCTGTAGACGAAGTTGAAGTAGAAGGAGGAGGGGGAGGAGAAAATAATAGACAAATAATAATAATTGATGAAGATATTAATTCTGAAAATGAAGGAAAAAGAACAAAAAATTGTTCGAAAAATGATAATGAAGGAGAACAAAATAATCAAAATAATATTGCTAAAGCGCCTCCTGAAACAGTAAAAAAATAAATTTAAATTAAATGTTTTAAATTTTAGTTAGAATGGATTAAAGCAAATTATGAATTAGTAGAGGGCGCATCTTTGCCTCGAAATATACTCTACAAGCAATATATAGAGTTAAATTAATTAATTTTTTTTGAATTTATTATTAATTTTCTAGTCATTGCAAAGAATTAGGATTTACCCAAGTAAATGCTGCATCTTTTGGAAAATTAATTCGTCAAGTTTTTAATCAAAAATTATCTACTCGCCGTCTTGGTACTAGAGGGAATAGTAAATATCATTATAATGGTAAATAAAAAAAGAGTTTAAACCTGGACCGGATCCGGATTTTCCGGATCCGGTGGTCTGGAAACGGGTACTTTGATAAAACCCGGATTTTGCAGACTTTGATCCGGAAAATCCGGTCCGGTTTAAAATAAAAATCCAGAAACCGGATCCGGCACTTTAAACTCTAATAAAAAAAAAGAAAATTTAATTTAAAATTTAAATTTAAATAAAGGTATTTGTTTAAAACAAAACAGTCCTTTACGTGCTACAATGAGTGCAGATGAATTAGAAAGAATGATGAATGGTTCACAACAACCACATAAAAACTCTCAACGTTCACAAAGAAAACAACAATTTAACAATAATAATTTACAAAAATCAAAAAGAAAAATTGAAAGAGAAATAAATTCAAATAATTTAAATAATTTTTCTTATTCCGCGGCAACATCTCCATGTGAAGAAAGAGAAGAATCTATTAATATTGAATTAGAACAACAATATCAACAACAACAAAGGTATATATGTATCAGGGATCTAGCCGACATAAAAATTCAATTCCCGATTTTCGGGAATCGGGACGGCTAGATCCCTGATATTAAATAATAATCTAAACTTTCCTTTTATTTTCCAATCACTATTCAAAAGTTCTTTCAGATTAAGATTTTATAGTGTCTAAAATAATGAGAATTTCATTAAATCACCACTAAAATTCCAAAAAAATTTAATTTCATAGTAAAAATTTATTTTTAAAAATTAACTATATTTAATATTAACAGTCCTCCCATAATTTATCCATCAAATATTAATCATCACAACCAACACCAACAATCAACAACAACAACATTAAATACTTCTTCTTCATTATCTCCCCCAACATTTTTATTACCCCCTCCACAATTAAATGATTTAATTGAAATAAAAGAAGGAGGGCTAAGATTACCAGAAATAGAATTACCTATTTTGGATGAATGTATTCTTTTAAGATATGGATTAAGTGTTGGGCATGTTTTGAAGTTTTTTGATGAATATAGAGAGCATTCCAGGGTTTTTTTAATTTTAAAGAAAGAAAATAAATTATTTTTTTGAAGAAAGTTTTAAATTGTGTAAAAGATTTTCGATTAAAATTAATTGAACAATTATGGATATCCTTTTGGCAAAAAAATATTGTTTATGATGGTGATATTGAACAATGTCAACAAAGAGGAAGAAACGAAGAAAATAATGTTGAATTGTAAGTAATTTTGTTATTTTTTAAATATATGTGAATAGTGTTAAGTACGAGATGCGAGATATTTTTTCGGGATTATCGAGTCAAGGGCTCTAAACCACCATTTACCTAAATATGAATATATATCGAGGAAACTGAAATATTCGAGAGATTTGGATCTCACAATTTTAAATTAAGAATAATTACCGCAAGACTTGTATTATAAGGAAATGACATTGTTTCCAATACATTTTTTCTCTTTTTTACATATTGTAAACTTCAACTTAACATTTTCACAAAAGAAGCCCTATAATAAACTATTAATTAATTAATATATTTAAAATTAATTTTTTTACAGAGGTTTAATGCGTGGTGCTCCGATTTTGGATAATCGTTCTTTATGTCGTCTTTGTTCTTTGCCTGAAATTATTTCTTATGTTGAAACTTTTGATTTAAAATTTTATCAAATTATTTTGGATTTTTTCTTTTCTAGTCCATTAAGAATTCCTTTAGAAAGTTTTTTTATTTTTTAATTAAAAAAATTATTTTTTTCTTAAAAAAGGTGATTTATGTAATAATCTTCGAAATTTTGGTAAAAGTATTGAATTTTGGATGGAAAATGCTTTGGGAGGAGGGAATAATTCAAATTTAAATTATTTAATTCCCCCAGCATTTAAAAAAGCTAAATTAGAATGTATTCGGTTATTGGCTAATTCTCTAACTCGTTTATCTTCTTTTGTTCATTTGGCTATTACCGCTAGAAGTGTTTTACAAAATAGAGAACAAGTTAAAAAAGTACATGATGATTTTAATCGGTAAATTAATTTTAATTAATCTGATTCCCTTCCCATAAATTTAAAAATAATTTTTTTAAATTAATTAATTAACATTTTATTTAATTAATTTATTTTTGATTTTAAACATTTAAATTAGGCAGCTTTACTTAAAAAATTCATTTCTAATTATTAGTGTTGATTTTGGAGTTTTTCATTGGCAAGCCGATTGGTTATGTTCTTCTAACTCTTCTTTAAATAAGAATTCATTCCAAGAATCAACAGAATTAAATGAAAGTTTTTGTAGTTGTAATGTTTTGGCACGTGAATTGGTAAAAATAATAATTAATTTAAAAATTAAAAAAAAATATTTTATAAAAGGTTGGACAGTTTCGTGAACGTTTATCTCGTCATTGTTCAATAGAAGAGTGGGCTGATTGGTTAGAATCAATTGTTGATAAAGCTTTAAATTTTCCAAAAACATTTAAATATTCCCCCCAACAAATAGCTAGTAAAGGAAAACGATTTTTATTAGCTTGGACTTTACATTCTTCTCTTCTTTTAAAAGAAATTACTTTACATTCTTCAACTTCTTTTGGAGAATTTCATTTAGTTCGGCTTGTATTTGATGATTATTTACTTATTATTATGGAAAGAAAATTAGCAAAAATTTTGGGAAAATTACCTATTGAATTAATGGCACCAGAGGTTATTTATTTTGTTGAGAATTTTAGAGTTTTT